ATTGGCGGATGTAGGAAACGAGAGACGAATTGGGGTAGATTCTAGCGACGAAGACGACGAGACTTTCTTCTCAGACTCCGGGGACCCCGAGTCCGATCTCTCGGAGGAACCAGAGGAAAGGCAAGCGGGGGTAAGCACCCGCTCGGGTAGACAGATAAAACGACCGGAAAGATATCTGTGAGGGTTAGCTTAAGGGAAGGAGAGTGTTAAGTTTAAGTTTAACGATTGTGTCCATGTTTGGATTTTCGAAAGTTCCGCGTAAAACGACATGACCGCTGCTGTACGGAGAGGAGGTTAGTGTGTCTACCGAGCGCCGGGAAGGCGGTATGCGTGCTGGAAAACTACGCCTAATAAACCTGTGTCAACTTGTGAAAACCCGAAATCATCAATCCTAACACTATCAAAATGGGAGTTTTTTCAGGATCATGTACCTCACCGGTAGTGTCGAGTCGAGACTCCGCATAATCAACGCGCATACCGACGGAAGTTCTTGGGAAGAGATCTATGGCGGGATGACTTCTCACAGGGTCTCTCGTACTTCGACATCAGCCGAAATCAGGCTTGGCTCCTGGAGTTGAAAACGGAGATTTCTCTGAGCACCTCGGACATATCGCGAGGAGACGAGAGGACTGAAGCTCAGGCATCCGCGCGGCCCGCAGTGACCTAAAGGCTGTCTTCCCGTCACTGGCCATCGCTGGACACCAGGAGCAGTTCTATTCGGTATCCTTCCGGTATATCTAGCCACTTCAGTTGTATACTTCTTCGTCCGCGTTGTTGGAAACGGCCGCCCAGCCAAACGGTTCCAATCGCTGTGAGACTCCCGTGATCATATCTGCCTGCTGCGACCCGGCGGTGCCGTTTGCAACTGCGACATGAACCAAGAGTTGGACGGAGTTGGGGATTCGTGCGCTCCGATCGAATGCGAGGAGACGACCCACCCGGGAAGAGGGAGAACTCCAGAAGCCCTGTAGCCCTGATCTAATCTAGGAAAGCATCCCACACGAATCTCCGATTCAAGTAACCTCAGAGCTGTACTCACCGGCGTCATCTTTAGCTGTTGTGTTTTTTGGGTGTGTAGGAATATCAGGATGTGAGTCATTGTGGGAGAAGGGAGTATTATTGAGATTGTGCCTTGATTGGGAGATTCCAACTCCTAACCGGATCTTCAAACCACTCATTTGTGCTTCCCACAGAGGGCGACGGTCGAGAGTACCGTGGCTCGAGGTGAATTATGCAGCCGATCCTCCGTTTCCTAGTGAAACCCCCGTGAAAAATCGGGGATTCCGGCCTCGAGACGAGCTGCTTCCTGGTTCCCTGGGGACCCAAATGAGACACGTACTTGAGGAACATTCACCAATCATGGAGTCGTGGAGAAGCTCGATCGAATGAATAACTAAATCAGAGCAGATAGTTCGCGCAGATCCGGAAGACATCCTTAGCATTTTTTTTTGAACTCGAGATGATTCATTTATTCTTGATCTTTCTAACGTAGTGAATAAGGTATGATCACCCTACTCCGGGCAACCCGTCAACGGAAGGCATTAAGCCGTGGACTGCAGCGGCGTTCCCCCTCTGAACCTCTATCGACAAACGCTGAAGGAGGAACTCCGTGGCCCTCTTATCGCCCGACTCGGACTCGATACGAGCACCCAGATCTCGGAGGAAGGCCTCTGTGCCCTCACCGAAAACTCCGAGAGTCTCTATTGCGACTGGTTGCACAATGAAGCGGCTTTCAAGAACCTGATACTTGTCCAGCTTTTCCCTCTCCGCGAGCCTTGCAAGCTCAGCTTCCGAGCGGACCGCAAGGGGCCGATGAGAGGCAGCGAGTGTGTCCCAAACCGTGGCATCCCAGACGAGAGCCTTCGAGCATTGATCTTGGGAACTGCATTAATAACGTTCTACAGGAGTAATGACGAAACCAACGACGTCTTGGAGGGATCCTAGGTAGATTGGGAGTCAGACAGGGGATGTTCCCTGCCTGATTGAGGAGGCACTTCGAGCTCAACTCTAGAGGCCCCAATTGGCCATTGTCCCAGACTCTGGCCTCTCCAGCTCCAATTGCCCCATCTCCCTGCACCATGCATGAAGAGGAAAACCCTGAAAGTCGAGATTCCGGATCCGCCCCCGACGACTAACGCCACGTCTTTCGCTGGCAGATTGTCGCCTTCACGGAATATAGTGCATCGGTATTCCCGCAAGTCCGTCGAGCCTGACTCGTGATTCTTGGCGCGGCGATTTGAATCGATATCGGCGCGCGCCTATCTCGCCACACACAGAGGCTGTTCCGAGTCAATGAGAAAGGGAGACCTGTCTTGCTGCTGCTGCTGGCGGATAAACAAAGCGGCGTGTTCGAATCCCGGTGGGGCAGCAGCCAGCTTGAATCTGCTTCGCAGATTCCCGCGGCAAACGCTTATTCAATTTTTCTCCCGGAGAATCCCTAATTCGATCGAAAGGTCAACTGTAGCTCGGGCGGACGGTGAGTCCCGCTTGCCTCCTTCACTCGATGCATCGCGAGCTCAAGAAGAGATCTTCGAGCTCCGATTCTTCTGGTCTTCGATTCGATCCCGAATGGAATGACAGTCTCTCTCTTGTTCATAGATGAGTTCCGAACCCAAACGTCGTAAGAGGAGCTACTACGTGGCGAGCGCGAATAAGAAAAGAGGCAATTTCCTGGATTGTGATGTCGGGCGCGGATTCCTGGTGACAATCAACCCGAAACAAGAGCGCAGGTACATTGAAGCTCGCTTCCTTGACGACTCTCGGAATCGATCGTGGGTCCTGATTGAGAGCGACTCGCGCCGTTTCGTATCAACATTGTGTTGGAAGCGAGACTACGCCGATGTCGTCCTCGCGAAAAATCTGTTCGGAATGTGAAGGGAGTTCACGTCGAATCATCTCATTGTGAGTCTCTTTGTTGTCAGGGCCACGCTCACCGCCTACTCCCTCTTGAACGAAGCGGCCGATCGACTCTACGGACCTCAGAAAATTTCCGAGGAGAATAAAGTAGATGGAGATATCGAAGCCGAACTCAAAAGCATCCGTGAAGATGGTTGTCGGTGAGGCGATAGAAATTCCTATGAAATCCCCCGATATACTCATTCGAGCCTCTCAGGATGACGATTCACCGCGAGTGAAAGGGAGACAGATAATTTTTCGATGTTCGCCCCCCTGGACCTCGACTTGAGGGCGTTGACAAGCTCTGATCTAATCGGGGGCGCCCATCGCAGATTCAAAAAACTGAGAACGGAGATACCCGCCAACATCTTCATCCGAACAACACTAGAGAAGCCTGTAGACATACTTTCTGATGTCTTCGAACGAATGCCGAAAAACATCAACTACATCCACCGCTTCGTTGCCGTCTTGGCAACTTGCAAAACCCAGCCAGAGAACATTTCGAAAAAGGTAACAATTTATCGTCTGACGAATTTCTGCGCCCTCGGGTGCCGTTTGAGCACTCCGCTGTCTCCCTGTGTCCCTCAGCTTCATTCGTAGAGCGGAAAATTCCCACAGGTGCTCGAAATTCTTGCGGAGAATTTCTCCGAAGGCATGGAGACCATTACGTTCATGGTTCAGTTGAAAGCCCGACACAACAACGAATATAAGGAATCCGCGAAACGGCAGGACTTCTGTCGGAAATTAGCAGAATCCATCCAAGAAGCGAACTCGAGTTTCGTCCCGGATCTCAAGGATCCGTCGCTCGTGGTAAACGTCGATGTGCTACAAAAAGTTTGTTGTATATCGTTGTTGCCACACTACAAACGCTTCAAGAAATACAATCCGGAGCAGTTCGTCGAGCCGGTCAGTATTCGAATCTGAATCAAAGATTTCCTAGCTCCTCCCGGAAAGCGGGAATCCTCTCCTGGAATAACCACGCAAATTCTAAATGTTACAGCTCACGGAGAAGCCGCAAGATGAGAAAACAGCGACGGATCTCCAAGAAGAGGGGCGATCACAACTCGAACAGGGGAGCGAGGAAGCCATCGAGGCCAGTGAGAAAGAAATCGGAGTTGCAATCGATTCCGGTGAGATAGGAAGCGAAATAAAGGAGCAAGATAAATAATAATCGTTGAGGTTCTCCATGGCTTTGATTTCTGAGGGCCGGGAATTCCATGTGATCGATTCCCTCTGAGGTGAGATGTTGTCCCGAAAGCGAATTATAGTCAACAAATATAATAAACAAAAGAAGCGAATCCATCGTGGGAGCGGGACTCAAATTACCTTCGAAACTCTGGTTCCGATGGACACCGCAAATCTCCGTGGGAGATCGCGGCTCTTCATGTATTGTATCCCGATGTTTTGCTGCGAACTCCCGGATGCGAGGCTTCGACCGGATGAGAGTATCCGTATTCCTCTACGCCTCCCGAGTGGGAGAAACTACCGGTTTCCCCCAGCTTCTGAGCGGAGAACAAGACATACAGCCACACATCATGATTATTACTTCGCGCCGGAGAGCGCTAGCGCAGCATTCATTATATCCTGGGCGATAAGACTGTCCATCGGAACCGATTCTCCCCTTGGATGGGGTGTTCCGGACCCTGTGCAATGTCAACGAGCTCAATGGGGAAACAATCTTCACCTCATCCCTGATCTCCCAGCTCCCATCGAGGGAACCGTCGAATGTGCCAGAGCCTGTGAGTCTGATCGTCGAGCTACAGAAACTACATTCGGCCTTACAGATAAACGGGCAGGGCCAGAACGCTACCTACATACCTTATATGCATTGGAAATTTCTGTGCGGAGGGGATAGGTAGTCGAAGCTCCAAAACAGCTCAACTAGGTCCAGAATCACCGAAGCCCCCTATTCTGCACTCTCGTCTACCCCTACAGCACTTCAGCAAGAATACGTTACTGTACAGGCTGGCCGGTGCGCTGGAATGATTCTCATGTACCTACACCCATGAGGAGCAGGTGCCTACACTACGCCGGCCGTCGCAGACGGCTGAGCACCGGCATCGTGGGAAATTCTCTATAAGTCAGCCCGCTCAAATTCTGACAACTTTGACTCTCGATGCTATCGTACTCCTCCGTTTGGAATGCTTTCGCACCGGGATCATCGGGAGAGACTGTCCGAAACTTCGCGATGGAGTTTAATTCTGCACCACAATCTAAGGAGGGATGAGGGGAGGTGGCCTGAGGAGAGCGTGCGGTATCGGTGAGGGAAATCACTAGTCATGAGACTAGCGGTCAGTTCCCCGCTGACCTATTCGCTTCGCTTATTTTAGATCCGAGAGTCCAGAACTTCCGTGGATCTGACAAAGCGGGGATCCGCTCCATCTCGATATCTCTGGATAGAAAACTCTGATCTCGGTAGCAAAGCCCAGTCGAGAGATGGATGATCTCTGGGACGGGTGTTCATAGATCTTTAAATATACCGCCATCGTGTAGAACCCACGCAGAGCCGCTTCTCGTCTCTGTGTTTCGAGGAGATCAATAAATGACAGGCAGTTCCGTTAAGACGGTCTCAGAGTGTGTTCCGTTTGGTAATTCATCCTTCAGTCAGAACATCCAAAACATGGCGCAGTCTGAACAGGAGATGCAAACAAGAGGCCGAGGAGTTCGGCCAACTGCTATGAATGTGCTGAGTGGCGAAGACAACTACGAAAGGTGGCAGACTTTCCGGGAAGCATACAATGACTACGCACGATGGGAGGGAGTGTTTGCCATGGAACCGGAATTGCAACTATCGAACTTCCGTCAGTGCTTCGGTGAAGCCAATCGGGCCCTCTTGAGACATCTCGGACTCGAGGCCATGGTGAGCGGTGACAGAGCAAACCCCAACGGCAAGGAGCCGTGCACAACCGTGAAGAATTTCATCGCCGCGTTGGAAACAAGATTTGGGAAAAAGGACAACCTTCTCTATAAACGGTACCTATTCCACGAAGCCGTGCAGAAGGATACAGAGAAGATATCGGACTTCGCGGATAGGCTCAGAGGACTAGCCAGGAACTGTAGATACAATGATCTACGGGAAGAAATGGTGAGAGATCGATTAGTGATCGGTACACGGATCCAGAAAGCCAGAGAGGCGATTTTCAAAGAAAACAACGACTTGACGCTCGAGAACGCGCTAGACTTGATGAGAAGACATGAGGATAACGAAGGAGCCTTGGCAGACATCAAAGACAATCGGGAAAGCGTGATGTCTGGAAGCCAAGAGATCAACGCAGTGTCATTCCGAAACTCTAAGAAAAGACCGTTCAGGAGAACCAATACGGGCAGGACGAATGCTTGCTCGTTCTGTGGCAGTAGGCACCAGCCGCGGAAGTGTCCTGCGTACGGATACCGCTGCGGGAAATGTGGAAAAACAACCATTTCGATACGTGCTGTCTAACAGGCGAGCAAACCCGTGTTGTCGAGACTTTGGAAGAAGGAGACGATTGGTGTGAAGACATGTTCATGGCCGGGACAACAGATCGTGTCAAGCGAAAATTCTTCACAAAGCTGCAGCTCGAAGACAAGACGTATCTGAGAGGCCAAATCGACACGGGAGCGACTTGCAACGCAATGAGTTGGAAAGATTACTCAGATCTAAAGAAAAAGGGAGTCGTCAGCGATATAGACAAAAAGAAGACGCAAACCAATTGAAAATGTATGACAATCACGTCACAATGTCCTTGGGAGTGTGCAGATTACCATGCTCTGTGAATGGGCGAAGTTTTTCGCTACCGTTCCAGGTGATGAATCACGGAGTCGAAATTCTCATTTCGGGCTACCATGCCAAGAAAATGGGCTTAATACAGTTCGATCAATCAGTCGAAGCTGTTTATCAGATCCGGGAAAAGGACTCAACGTCGTCGGGAGGTGGGAAAGCTCTGCTGGACACTTATGCCGACATATTCGAAGGTCTTGGAGAATTCGGCGACCCGGTGAAGCTTCAAGTTGATCCAGTCTATGAGCCCAGACAGCAACCTCCTAGAAGGATCGCAATTGCTCTCCTGGAAAAGGTTACCAGGAAAATTGAGCAGCTGGTGAAGGCGGGAATCATACAGAAGGTTACCCACCCGACACCATGGATAAGCAATCTCGTGGCAGTACCGAAGAACGATGACGTGAGACTGACTCTGGATCCAACATTCCTGAACAGAGCTTTGAGAAGACCGAAATTTCCCATGCCGACTTTACAAGATCAATTACCGCATTTCAAGAACGCTCGATTCTTCACAATCGTAGACGCGAAAGGATGGATTCTACCAAATGAGGCTGACTCCAGAGTCTCAAGTATCTCACCACATTCTGGGGCCCGAAAGGGGAGATACAGATATATTTCGCGTTTCCGCAAGGAATTTCCAGCGCCCCCGAAGAATATCAAAGACGTCAAATGGAAGCGTACGAAGGACTCGATGGAGTGATGGTCATCGCAGATGATACCATCATAATGGGATATGGCAATACAGACGAAGAAGCCGGAAAAAATCATGACAAGAACGTTGAAGCGCTCTTTGAGAGAATACGGCAAGTAGGTCTGAAACTCAACAAGAAGAAGATCCAGTGGAAAAAGCAAGAGGTCAAGTATATGGGACACCTGATTTCCAGAGATGGTGTGAGACCAGATCCAGGGAAAGTTGAAGCGATACGAGACATGAAGGCACCGGACAATCCTAAGGCGGTTCAAAGGTTTTTGGGTATGGTAAACTATCATATCCAATTTTTGCCACATATCGCGGAGCATACTCAGCCAATCCGAGACCTGATAAAGGAGAAGAATGATTTCATATGGATGGAGACTCAAGACAAGGCCTTCGAGAAGATTAAAGAAATCATCAGCAACGCGCCGACGCTGGCTTTTTATGACGCAGCGCAGCCAGTGGTCATCCAGACCGACGCTTCGGACTCGGGAGTGGGAGCAGTACTCCTTCAGAACGGCCGTCCTGTAGCTTATCATTCCCACTCGCTGACCGAAGCCGAGAAAGGATACGTAGCAATGGAAAAGGAGGCGCTCGCAATCGTCTCGGCGTGTGCGAAATTCGACCACCTCATCTACGGGAAGCCGAATATTCTCGTCGAAACAGATCACAAGCCCCTACAGGGAATCTTCAACAAAGAATTAGAGAGTTGCCCACGGAGATTGCAGCGCATGCGGCTCGCCTTACAAAGATATGACTTGACGGTAAAATACATCCCCGGGACAAAAAACCTGGTCGCAGACACCCTGAGCCGAGCACCGGTTGATCCGAAATCAGAAAAGGCGCCGGAGCGCGTACTTCGCATCGAGATAGAGAACACAAAAATCTACGACGGATCCAAAATATCGGATCCCCTCCTCAAGCAAATTCAAGAACATTCAACCAAAGACGAGGTGGTTCAGAAAATCAAAGGAGCAATTGAAACGAAGTGGAACAAGAAACTCGACGATGATCTCAAACCATTTATGGCGGTCAGACATGAGCTGATTTGGCAGGATGGCCTCCTCTTCAAGGGATCTGCATGCTTTGTACCTCGAACGTTAAGGGCAGATTTCTTGCGAAGAATTCACAGAACACATCTCGCCAAGGACGCGATGTTCCGAAGAGCTCGAGACACAATATTCTGGCCAGGACTGAAACAAGACTTGGAAGAAGTAGTGAGTAATTGCACGGCGTGCCAGACGTATTCGATAAAGCAACAACCGGAACCCATGATTATGGGCGAACTTCCCGCGCATCCGTGGGACATAGTTCACCAAGATCTGATGGAATGGAGCGGTCAGCAGTATCTGGTCACGTGCGATGGGTACAGCAACTACTTTGATCTCTTCAAGCTGGGGACATCGGCGACGACAAGGCAAGTCATCAGTGTGACGAAACGGTTATTCGCTGCATTTGGTCGACCACGTCAATTCAGAACCGATAGTGATCCTCGCTATTTATCGGGAGAGTTCAGGGAGTTCATGAGCCAGTTTCGAATTCAGCATAATGTCAGCGCTGCACATCACCATCAGGCGAACGGACGAGCAGAAGCCGCGGTCAAGGTGGCAAAAAGACTGGTCAAGAAATCTGAGCTGGCTAGAGAAGACCTCGAATTGGCTCTATTGGAATGGCGCAACACGCCTCAAGAGGACGGATACTCGCCTGCGGAAAAATTCTTCTGCAGAAAGACAAGGAGCCTCTTACCGGTTCGTGAATCGGATCTAAGGCAAAAGCTTCCGAGGAACGTTCAGAATTCAATCAGACAATCGAGAATCAGACAGAAACGGAGCTTCGACAGAGGTGCAAAGGTTTTGCACCCTCTGGCAGAAGGCGACGGTGTCCTAGTGCAACCCATTGGTTACGGGAAGCGATGGGAAAGAGGATCGATTGTACAAAGATTGAACAAACGAACGTACGCAATCGACATGGAGAACGGAGGTCGATTCATCCGAAATCGTGTTTTCCTGAGACCGAATGGTCAACGGTCAGGCGCACGAAAGCAAACAGCCGAAAACAACGTATTAGAAATCATCACGCAACAAGAGGAGGATGAGCCGGAGACGATCAGAGTCCCCATCAGGATCTCGAAAGATACACAGCCGTTATCAGACGAAAGAGAGCCGGAACTCCAATCGACAAGAGCCCCTAAGATACTCGAGATCCCACGCAAGCGAAAAACTCGAGGTGCAATCAACTGAAGCCAAGAGAAAGGATGAAAGAGCTACTCCGAAAATCAACCGAACTACTAGAAGCGGAAGAGAAATCAAAGCCCCCGATAGACTTCTAGATAGCATCATGGAGATCAGCACGATGCAGTTGGAGTAATTGTGTGTCCACTGTATACAATCTCAGTCAAAGAATATAACGAAATAATTTAAATCAATTTGTGTAAAAGAAGAGAGATGTTCATAGATCTTTAAATATACCGCCATCGTGTAGAACCCACGCAGAGCCGCTTCTCGTCTCTGTGTTTCGAGGAGATCAATAAATGACAGGCAGTTCCGTTAAGACGGTCTCAGAGTGTGTTCCGTTTGGTAATTCATCCTTCAGTCAGAACATCCAAAACAACGGGGCTCCGCGATTCCACAAATTTATGAGACATCGTGAATCAGTAGGAGTGAGACGATCATTCGAATAGCGCAAAAACTCTGAACAGACCGGTCTTTTGCGCGCGAGACATCGGAGCTCTGGGGGCAACCTCTCAGCCGGGCCGTATGGATTTCCACAGGAGTCACTGGATCATTTCGAGCCTACGGAATGCCATGGAATATTCGGCGCAGATTCATTCAGTTCCCGGGATCCAAATGCTCCTGAGGTGCTGAACATTCAATCTTCTGATTTCTCGCGGGGTATTCCCTCTCGACGTAAGTATATTCTAAGACGGTGAAGCAGCTCTCACGTACGGATCGTTCCATGCCTTCGCATGTCGGCGAACTTCGGGAGCCGTCGGAGCTTTTCTCGATCTTGATCGGATTACCCGCCATCGCACGGAATGAACGAGTTCAGACTTCGGCGCGCTCGGGGTCTTAGTGGATCGCAGGAGCGCCGGCCGGGCTGGCTCAAATGTCGCACGCCAGTCGGTTCGCCCCGTCGGCGGGCAGAGCGGCGGGCTCCCGCGCGGAACGATTTTCCGAGCCCCATGCGTCCTGTCGCTCAGGAGCTCTCTCATGTATTTGACAGATTGCAATTAGGAATAGAATAGCTCCATACAGAATTCTTTCGGCCAAACATTCTCGCGCTGGTATTCTCAAAAACTCGCCGGTCGACGGAGGAAAGGGCTTTCCGAGCTGACGCCCCTCGCGAGAGTTCTCCATGTGAGTGTGCGCGCTCGTCCGTCCGTCCGACCATCCCGCTTGCCTTTCCTCCCGAGTTGGTTGCCTCTGCTCGAGAGCAGCGGCTGGCTGCTGCCCACCTGGCGACTCGTTCCCTCGCTCGAACCGTGGACGTTGTGGAAGAGGGCGCTGCCACTGCGTTGATCTCGACAGTAGTTCCCCGCTCGCTGATATGGTGCGGAAGGGCTCCGCTAGATTTCGAGGGCGAGCACCCGTGAATCGGGCGGAATAGAAAGGGCGGCGCGGGCGGTGGCAGCAGCAGCAGCATCGGTGGGATCTCCGAGTCCGCCAGCTCCCGCTAGAAAGGGCGGCGCGGGCGGTGGCAGCAGCAGCAGCATCGGTGGGATCTCCGAGTCCGCCAGCTCCCGCTAGAAAGGGCAGCTTGCGGGAGCGGCTCCTCCATCGCCGGCGAAGGGAGTGGAGGAGACCTATGAAAGGAAGAAGTCAAACAAAGCAGCCACACGAAAACTAGACACCGCGGCGGGAGAGAACGGCGGGAGCGAGAGAGTTCGAACGAGAGAAAGGAAGCGGCGGATCGGCGAGCGAGAACAAGAGAGCAAGTAGAGAGGGAAGGATCGCCCGCGAGCGAGCGAGCGAGTGAGCGATTGGGGGAGGGAAGGAGCTGTCTGCGCAGATGGCTGGATGGTTGGCTGGCTGGCTTGCTGGCTAGCTCGTTCGTTCGTTTGTTGGTTGCTTGGTTCGTTGGTTCGTTCGTGCATTCGTTCGTTCGGAGGTTCATTCTGGTGGTACAGGAGATTGCAGAGTGCTCAATGAACGTTTGTTCGTCCGCGTAGAAGTACGACCAGCTTCTAGCGGGAGGAGACATGCGGAAGACGACGCCTTGAGACAGCACACTACTACTGGCATCGTTCTCCTGTCGCCGTCGGTCGCCTGTGTTGCTGGTAAGTAAGTGCTCCCGTCCGACGTTAGCGTCACTCGTTAAGTAGACGATTCGCAGCTCGCTCGCTCGTTCGCTCGACCGATCTGCCCGCCGATCGTTCTCGCGGCCGATGCAGGTGGGTGCCGACAATGCTCGACGAGCTCCACCTGTAAGCGTTGTGAGCTTCACCCAGGTCGCGTACCCAACCCCTTGCGTGTGCGTAAGCGCTCGCAGACGTCCGTGCGTGGATCGTCCATTCGAAGTCCCACTGCGGCTAGGGTGCCCGAGCTGGGCTGGTCGAGCCCCGAACCATTCATCAATCGACCCATCCATCGACGAATATGGCTTCTTGCGCGAGCCGATAGCTTGAAGTATCGGTCGAGTCGGCGGAGCTGTGTGCGTGTTCGAGTGCTCATGATCCGGTTCGTGCCAATGTGCTTGTGACTGTGGTGTGGAGACTGTGTGTGCTTCAAATCCATGAGTGCGCTGAGCTAGAAAGCGAAAAGGTTCCCCTGCTCTGGCCTGTTTGCCACCAGCCCCAGCTCCCATACAGCGGTAGGCCTAACATCGATGGGCGGCATCGAGTCGTTGGGCACGTATTGCAATTTTCCACGATGCCCACATGGGTCGCGAGGCTTGCATTGGTGTTCCGCGAGGGGATCTACGGCCGAAAATCGTGGTTCGGTCTTCGAGTGTACTCCCGGCCGACAACTCCGGCCAACCCTCGCTGGATTCACCGCGCCGCCGGACGAGGTCTGTCGTCGTCGTCGTCTCGAGCAGCAAGATGTCGCCGAGTGCGGATTGCTCTCGGTTCCTGTGACAGAAGACAGAAACTTCCGTTCGGTTTCGGGACTCGCCTTCCCTTGGGAATTTATTGCCACAGCGCAAAGTTCCGTGAACGTGAAGGAGCCGTGACATGGCTGGAGACGGTGTTGTTTAATCTACAAGTGACGTCTGAGCCAGAGCACAACTAGATCGCCTGTGCTGCTGCCGCTGCTGTGCCGCCGTCACCGCCGCCGCGGCTGCCGCTGCTCCCTGGCTGCTGCTGTCTGCCTGCCTGGCTGCGGCTAATAAGCAGACCCTGTGAAGAGCCGACTATTGGACGACTTTTCGGCAGGAAACCGGGACTGCTGGGAATTACTGAGTTCGTTGGGAATAGCGTTCAGTTAATAGAGTTCGTGAGAGTTGCCACCCGGGGTGTATTCTGTGAACGACGGCGGCGACAGGCAAAATGTGAGACGGCTCTCGCTTGCAGGCAAGCAGTTCGATTCGCCCGTTTACCACCGCTGCCATCCCCACCGCCAGCTCGTCCACTCTGGGATAAGTGAATGGAGAGGACATTTGCCAGCCATCGCGCTCGAGTGTACGGCTGTGCGTGCTCGTAAGTGCACGGAGGAACATTTAGGATAATGCGCGGCAAAGACCCCCGGACATGGTTCGAAAGTCAAGAGTTAGGCTTAGCAAGTCTACGGCGCCGTTTACCGAGGACGGCCGCTCGTGCATCCAGCGAAGCTATCGGTTGCTCATATTGGGAAACGCCGCCGAACTTCAAGAAACTTCGGTCGAGCATCGAGCTGGGAAATCTGAGCTCCGGTTCCGGCGCAGAGCGGATCGTGCTGCGAAGTTCTCGAAGCGCGAGGCAGCCCGCAAGCTTTGCCCACTCGCTTCGTTGGGTGGTAGCTGCATGCATGCTCCTCCATTCGAAACTACTGTCAACGCCCACCCGCTAGAGAAGGCGCTTAGGCTTCTCAATTCTCCATGAACCGGTGCAACTCGGTTAGGTGGCCTGAAGATCCTCCGATTCGAATTTCTCCGTGTTTGAGGGAAGTACTCTGGACTCTGTGCGCGGAATGCGATCGATTGGTGCATGTTTTCGAATTGGAGCGCATTTTGTTGTCTGACAGAAGCAAGCTCCGTCTCGAAGGCATTTGCGGATCCTATAGGGACCTGTACCTTGTTGCGTTCCTAAATCAGAAGTAAGCTCGCCGAGACCAAGAATCCAGCCATGTTCTCGATTTTCTTTCGAGACGCGGCGATCGGGGTACTAGAACCGAGAGCATCCCTCGAGGATATCCATGTGCGGTCATGTAATCACAACAAAGAGTTGTTGACGCTGTACGCTCAACGCTGAGGTCCGGCGGATCGACGACTTTAGTTTAGTTTCCGACGAGGAGAACTGGTCTCGCTGTAGTCGGAATGAGCCCCGACTCAGGATCCGCTGGCCGGCCCGGTAGGGCACCGTCTGCCATGATGATTTTGGCCGGAGTCTGGGAGTTCTGTCGGAGACGAGCGAATTCACTCAGTCAGTGTTTGTAGGAGCTTGCCGCTAAACGCAAACCAACAGAACGTACTAAGAGTTCACCGCAATGAGGACGGCTGAATCATGGATCCTGGTTGACGTTCCGATCAGATCTCCCTTGGTCCCACTTCATTTCGACAGATAATAGTTGTGTTCGAGCTCCTGCTCACGACACATGGCGACGTACGGTCAGCGCTAGATTTAGTGAAACGCAATTTAGTAAAAATCTAGTTTATATCCAGTGAATCATTGTCCTGGTTTCGACCAATGGTAGCGCCGAGTTGAAACCTCCGGGTTGCGTAAAGCGCTCGCAATAGCAAAGACATCTTCAAGTCTCCAGCGTGTTTACTGAATCGAGCGCTGACCGAAGTGGGAGCCGAGAGTTTTTCAGGAGGCAGACAAGAGCAGCAGTCCGAATGAGGAAGAGACCTGACGATTCTTCAAAGAGCCCACAGAGAGAATAAACAGTCTAGCGAAAGACTTCGCTAATGTGGGAGAGCCACGGAGGATGGAGAGAGGAAGTCTAGGAGTGGCATTCAGTTAGTTAGGGTCATAACCGCAGGAGGCGAGCCGGCCGGCCGCCCCCTCAACCGCCGGCGTGCAACTGACTCGGGCATCATAGAACGTTGGATCGGGGTCTGGATCCTCGACGCGTATGGCGTTGAGAGATGTGAGGAATTCTTGCCTCGGCGTTCGATGCTCGACCACTTCGGCTGCGGGCTAGACCTGCCAAGAATACCCCAGTTATTTTTAAATCACGCCGCTTCCCCCCGTCCCTCTCGCGGCCGACCCACCAACAGGCTCTCTTCCCGTGCGCTTGTTTCATTTCGAGCCCCATTCAGACTACTGAGACTCATTCCCGACGCCCGCGCCACCGTCAGAAGCAACTCTGCGGAGGGGAGCAGATCTCTGAATATCATCCGAAGCGTGCCCAACTCCGGAACCGTCGCATGCGTCGATGTTGCGTTCGACGAGAGCGTGGGCCCTCATCGTGCTCGGTATCCCAACTTCGAGGTCAATCCGGAGATTTTCGGCCCTCGAGATCGGAGCTCACCATAGGAATCAGAGTTCCTCTACCAGAATCGAATCGTTCCGCCAAATATATCGAGCTCCGTCTCCCAGAGCTCAGGCTTGAACTCTCCTCCAGAAAATCTCTCTCGTGATCGCGGTTCGACGAATCTCTTTGTTGCAAGAATCGGAGATCGTCTCCGAAACGACCATTGAATACATATTCATCCCTTTTAATGATTCGTCCAAAAACCGTCGGGCAGCAGCCCTGTGAAACCATAAGCGCGAGCGATGGTAAACCGCTACTTGTTGGTCAGTTCGCTCTTCGGCTCGCCGACTTGATGAGATTCGGTTAATGGACGAATTGTGAAGTAAGACACGCTGGACAGCGACTAGAGACTCTGTTCTCGTTTCGGCAGCGGTATAGGTGTGCTGGTCCGCCTACTCCACCAGGGTTGCTTATCTATGATTCACTCGAGAGTCGCGTTTTCTGGACAGGGGTTTTCTGGTTCCATGAGATGTTTACGGACTGCGACAAGCGCCGCGCCAGCCGGAAAAAAGACACCCCGTAGAATATTTTGAATGCGGAACATTTCAACGTTGGTCGACGCGAGACCTGGAAGAAGTATCGAGAAGTAGTATCATCGTCGAAGGCCGAACGTAGTTTCCGTCGCGGAGAAAACACTTGGTCAGCTCAGCCTGCGGTGCTGAATGTCTTTCGGCGAGCGTTCGCTGTGATTGTTCCGAAGTCGCCGTTGCGGTACAGGTCTAGCTGTGTTCTGCATGCTGGCTGGAGGAAGCTTTGCTCTACAGTCTGCTGTAGGGAGTCGAATGTTTACGCTTAAGGGCGAGCTTACATGAGAGGCTAACAAGCGGCTCAGAGCTCAGAACGCCGGCGCCGTCCTGAAGAGAAGCAGGCTGACCGACTGACGGCGAAATCGCCTCACACCCGCGTGGCCGACTCGGACAGGAAACATGATCTTCCGGGAGACCGATCGCCAGAGTTCAGTTGCTGCGACCGGTGAAATTCCGGAATTTCCAAGAACAGTAACGCGAAGGATTGGGGAACCGAGTTCATGCCGAGCTCGAAGGGTAGGTTTACCCATCGATTCGCCTACCATGTCCAGAACCCTTGTGGGGTTTGCCTGAGGCATCGGTTGCACGAGCGCTCGTCCCTCTCGAGTCGGGTTGTCGAAAGACTCGACGTCTGAGAATGACCTGGTTCTTGGGGAAGCCTCGAGGAAGGAGTTGTTTCAGTGAATCACCGATATTAGACTGAGACTATGCAACGTCTTTCGTGAACCGGAATGCCTAAACGACGGAAGGTCCCGCGTACTTCTCGCTTAAAGTTCCCGAGCGACTCGGACTTCTCCAGCTCCCGCCGGATTACGGCATCAATTCCCCATGACCGGATTCGGATGGTGATCGTGACGTTTGAGATTGCGTCACCGATCGCTTCCTTGTGCATACGCGCAGCGACCAGTCGGCCGGTATTGCTTTCACTCGCGTTTTTTTCGTCATCTTTCCGAGCCGCTGTTCGACGAGGACAAGGTTCGGTCCATCTCGATCAGCCTGATTTCTCCTTGTGACCAGTAGAGCCTTTCTCGCCTGCGATCTACGCTGAGTCTTTTGCGGTCTTATGGCTGCGCCGCTCACGCCGATCCGCGGCGCCCTGCCCTCAGGCATCCCTCAAGGTCTATGCTGACCCTCTGAACGACTCGGTGTACGAACAGTAAGACCTCGTTATAACGGACCCGGATATAGCGGGTACTTGCTCACAACGGACCGATCGCTCGGTCCCGGACAAGCCTATGGAATCTTCGATGTTTAATGTCTCGCTCATAGCGGACCCAATGACGGACTTTCGCATACAACAGACCTATTTCCAGGCCCCGGCCCTCCCATGCTAATCAGATCGGTTTCGACGGACCTATTCTCGCGAGTAAGAAATTCGAAAGCCGTGGCCTATTGGACGATCCGCAAGGTTTCTCGCCCTGATGCGCGTCGATAGCAAGGCTGCAGCGGTTTTTCCGATGGTTTTCACCCGCGACCAATCTCCGGATATAACGGACGGACAGTTTCGGTCGGTCCCTTCAAGTCCCTTACGTACGAGGTTCTACTGTATGTGGAAGCTTGTTCGGTAGCTTGCTATCAGAATTCGCTCGCTCGCTAGCTGCACGGACGGCTAGCTGACTCTTGTTAAACAGGCTTGAATCGAAAACGATTACAACATCCGCTGCTGCTACTCCATGCTCACTCTCGCGCGAATGAGTTACGGAAAACACTCTCACAAGTCAGCTGCTCATACCACTCGCTCTTCTTCGACTGGAGGGCCCTGATTGTGGTCATCATCATCAAGACCCCGTTGCTGAGAGAGTCCTGTCGTACACAACGCGTGTTTGGGTGCCGCCTCCCCGACAATGATTTATGGGAGGGAAGCGCGGGAAATGTTTGGATCCGGATCGGAACGAGATGTCGTGCGATCGGAGTTGTCGGAGCTCGCTGTGGAAACGCAGCGTTAGAGGCGAAACAAGGGAATATGACGCGAGCCGCTTTGTCTCATGGAGATCTGGGTGAAGGCTGAACCACTCCTTTCGAGTACGCTCCTCCAAACTGCTGTCATCCCACTCAGTCAGCAGGCAACACCGATCGTCTACATGAGTAGTGACCGATGGAGGAAGGAATATCCGAGCTTACGAGTCCGTCGTGCGCGTTAAATGAAGCGAAGCGAGAAGCCTGCCCTAGCATCAAATTCTAATCGGGATGCTTGCACATAAGATCTGAAGGAATTTCTCCATCGATTAGCCGCTCTGGTGACCGGCATCAGCAGAGCTCCTCGAAGACGTCGCCAATGTCTGTCCTCCCTATCAAAAAGCCCGCTTTAGAAGAAGCTCGCGAGAAAAGAGACAGACAGGCAACCGCAGGCTTGGGGACACCGACATGGGCCCCGCTGAATCAGGCCGGGCTTGGTAGCACGCTGAGTCGTTTCGCTATCTGAACAAAAGCTTCTAGAGGCGGGGGGTCGGTCTGAGGACGGACGTATTAACGAGTTGCTCTCTCATTTTCCAGTACTTCGCACGGGATGGTGGAAGTACATACAGAGCGAATACCTTGTCCGTGATAATGCTAGCTGGGTTAGAACCACTCTTTTTCGTCTCTGCTCTCGGCATTCGCGTAATCCAGTGCCGAAAAACTGAAAGACTCAGTCACGGACTTGAAATAAGGCTGAACGAATCGCTTGCGGTGTCCCCTGCTCATCGGTTTCTGAACGGAGAATAACTCCCATCGGGCTTTCGAAAAGCGGACGAAGTCAGTCAGTCGTCAGCTGATGGCCGATTCAATATTCTCCCAAGCCCCCGGGAAGAGCTCCGGAATGCGGAATGAATCATCATAATTATCTTCCTCCGACGCTCAGGGTTCGACACTCCCGCAACTGACTCAGTCGACTCCGAGCTCGAGTCGGGGCTGAGAGGGGGATCTTCCGCGAAGATTTACCGATGCGATTCCAAGAATCAACATCCTGCGTGGAGCCGAGCGCGGAACGGGAGTGCCCCCGCAAAACGCCGGCCTCTATTAGAAATCTTGTCAAACTTTAGACATCACACCCCGATTCTTACTCCTCCTATATCTGACCAATCTACCCACAACACGACGATTGGGCGTGCTTCTGATGCTTTCAACTCTTTGTTTCAGATAATCGAATAATTGTGTACCCTGCGGACAACCTTGGCCTGGTTCAAGCAACCCGGCCGCTAAAGGTCAGTGTAAAATGACAGCAAGAACGACATCTATGGTAACACCTCTTGTGAAGACGGCGGCGTCGGCCCACCTTTCTCCAATCATCAATCAATGATGATAATCGAGCCGCAATCAGCCGTCGAATCTTATACGATCCAAATTCGTGCTCGAATCGACCGAGATCTTACGTTATTGTCTCTTACAGGAAGGGAGGTGGCGACCCGCAGGGTTGAGTCTAGCTGACACGGAGCGTCAGGTTAAGCAGGCTCAAGCAGCTCACCCTGACGACTGGCTTGCTAGCTTGTGAGCCGTTCCCGATCGAGCTGTTCAAGCAACAGAACCAACCTGACTTTCCCGAAGAGCACCCTCACTGTGCCGAACGGTATCAGTGACTGGCTCGGGAGTTGAGCGTCCCAGCTAGCGAGCCAACGGGTGGCGCAAAAGCAGACGTTGCGGCTCTGGACTGACCGAGCGAAAAGTCATTGAAAAACCGCTCCGGTTCTAGCATCCTCAGATAGGTGGAAGGGAAGTGGACCGTCTCAAGTACACTACCTACAGCTACATCTACCACTACCATTACGACGACCGAAATACGGCTGCTGCAAATACTGCTGCTGCTATAGACAGACGGAAACGGCGATGAACGAGTTGGAAGCGCTTCGGCAAGAAGCTGAAACGCTTAAAAACACCATACGCGATGCACGCAAGGCGGCATGTGACACCAGCCTGGTTCAGGCCACGGCAAACATGGAGCCGGTGGGACGGATACAAATGCGCACAAGAAGAACACTCCGTGGCCACCTGGCGAAAATCTACGCGATGCACTGGGGCAGTGACTCCCGCTACCTCGTGTCGGCATCGCAAGACGGCAAGCTGATCGTGTGGGATGCATACACAACTAACAAGGTGCATGCGATCCCGCTACGATCGTCGTGGGTGATGACTTGTGCCTACGCGCCGTCCGGCTCATACGTGGCCTGCGGAGGCCTCGACAACATCTGCTCGATCTACAGTCTCAAAACCCGGGAAGGTGAGCGAGCGCAACCCTCAGTGTAGCTCCGGGGCCCGGACCCTGACGATGTGCTCATAGCATCTCTCAGAACTCCGGCATTGATCAGCGACGTATCTGACAGGACTTTTCTTCCTTGCAGGGAATGTACGCGTTTCACGAGAGCTGCCCGGACACACGGGTTATCTTTCCTGTTGCAGATTCCTGGACGATACGCAGATCGTCACCTCATCTGGAGACATGACTTGCGCGTTGTGGGACATTGAGACGGGCCAGCAGTGTACGTCGTTCATGGGGCACACTGGCGATGTCATGTCGCTTTCGCTAGCACCTGACATGCGTACCTTCGTTTCGGGAGCATGCGACGCCTCGGCAAAACTGTGGGATATCCGCGACGGTCTGTGCAAACAAACGTTCCCCGGCCACGAATCGGACATCAACGCAGTGACATTCTTCCCCAACGGTTACGCCTTCGCGACGGGCTCCGACGACGCTACATGTCGACTTTTCGACCTCCGCGCTGATCAGGAATTGGCGCTCTACTCTCACGACAACATCATATGCGGTATCACATCAGTGGCATTCTCAAGATCCGGAAGACTGCTGCTCGCCGGCTACGATGACTTCAACTGCAATGTGTGGGACTCGATGAAAGCCGAGCGAGCTGGTGAGTTCAGGGCGACGCTTCTTTTCCCTCAATGGAATCGATTATTATTATTTGTGTTTTACATGGGCGCATCCAATGGCATTCCTCGTACGAGCTTCCTCGGGTTTCGCTCGATAATAATATGTTTCCTCATCATCCTACAGGAGTGCTAGCTGGTCATGATAACCGTGTATCTTGTCTCGGCGTAACAGAAGACGGAATGGCCGTTGCCACCGGCTCATGGGATTCATTCTTGAAGATTTGGAATTGAACTTGATTCTCCGCTAACGTTCAACAAGCATATTAGTTCAACTATTGGTGACAAGGGTACGGAGAAGATTATAGGTTCAGTTCTTTCGACGCAAGAGGAATCGACGACGAGGGAAATATTTCAAATGCGGGATGTAAGGACACGATGACACTTATACCTGAATTAAGAGGATGATAATATGAACAACACGTTTACACGGATCCACGACCCAAACAAGCATTCGAGTATACTGGGATATGGTTCCCCAGTCACAAGCGAGTTTTTATTTCCCTTCTCAAAATTCTGACCACACCGAATCTAGTCCATGCGTTACCCTGAAACTCTGCGCATACACATCGAGCAGAGCGCAAATATAAGCCTTGAAGCCATCGAAGCTCAAAACATTGGATGATTACTAGTATATAGGGGAGAAGATCGAATTCAAACGATGACATTTGTACGGCTCATCGAACGGAGATCCGTTGAATTCACGAGTTTCGCCTACACACAGGAACACACACACAAACAGGAAAGTAGTGGCGAAAAATTGCTGCTAGGAACTCTTCTTGCTGCATAATACGAACCGAACGCCACTAGTTCCGAAATGCGTCGGCTGGAAAGCGTTCGGGAAAGCACGTGAGAGCGTAAAACCACTCGTTCATGAGGACGACGTCGATGATTTTTACCATACATTCTAATATTGTATTCGATGCATGACCAACAGGACAGGGACTGTAGCGCGGATCGTCGATAGTCGCGGAATCAGCGGAACTTATTGACGCTTGTCGAGAACAGTCCTGTTAGCGCTATCACATACATAAGAATACACACAGACAATACACACATTCGAACACGGTACAAACATTTCAAGTGTGAGGGCACCACAAATTCAAGAGAGAGGTTTCGACAGCGTTAAAAGACAAATACCACAAGGAGGAAAAATGGACGCTTTCGGTTCTTGGAGGGCGCGTTCGACGCTCCCGGATCATTTCGCATTGGAAGCCGCTCCACCAGTCGGCCATGTTTGGCAATCGAATCCCTCTGTCCGGATTTTCCTATGGCTCGACGTTTGCGACGACGTTGGCGTCGTTGTGTGTCTTCGGCGACTCCTCTCGATGTCAGCGTCCCGATCGATCCTAGAAGGGTGTTAATCCTCTCGAGCAGAGGTTGCCTACTCCGAAGCTCGTCCGCTCGCGCTTCACTCCAGGCTTACCGTGATGGACGGTTGATAGTCGGGACAGACGGACGGAATGTAGCCCCCATTCGTCCGTCAACTCAAGCACTCGCGGATTCGCTCATGCAGCTATACGCGTGGTTCCGCAATGATCATTCGATTGCTGTTTCGAGCGGTGTGTGTTTGATCAGCTCACTCCGACTCCAGTGAGGCTCACGAACTTCAGCGGCGGGATGAAGATCAGTGAACGTCGGAACAGTTTCGTCGGGAAGAGTCGGCGGGAATCGCCCCTCAATAATTCTATTCCGAGTCACGGACTGAACACTGAGTGATCGACGATGACGGGTTGATGTGATAAAGAGTTGGAGTTCAAAAAACATCGTCGAACAAGTGTGCCATATAGGAATTTCGTCGAAGCTGGCTGCCGTAGGGAGCGTCTATTGCCGGAAGTTTCGGGGTCGGCGAGCGGTCTTCCCGATTGCGACAAGACCCGTATCCGCTGGATCATAATTTGAATGAGGTATATTATATTTAAGTATATGATGAACTAGTTTATCGCGGACAATTCAGATTGTCACAAAGAAGGCGATCTAAGACGTAACAACAAATGACGGAATGAACAACACAAGCAGCAGTCGCAGCAGCGGGAGACGAAGGCGGACCGTTCGAAGTTTTTGCACGAAGATCATCGCTCAGAACGCTCTTGAGCACGAATGTGTTGCTGAGCGAGAAGATTTAGACAAGCAGACGAATGTCACGCCTTTGCATCAGTGTGCCTCGGGTTACGACCGAACTGCCCCTCCTCAAACCGAGGCACCAGGGTGGCCCAACTCCATAGCTCGGAGGTTCGCCGGGCAACCCTCAATGCAGCCGAAGTCTGGCACTCAACCGTCTTGCGTATAGCTTTCTTGTAAGCCTTCCGAGCCTCTGACCGCATTGCCGGTTTCAAGATCGATCAATCTGTGTATCTATCAATCTTATCTAATCTAACTGTCTGAATAATATCTATCCACTATCAATCTACTATCGTCTATCTATCTGAACTATCCATCGATACCTTGAATGTCCTTGTATTCATCAGCTCGCTGGACTTCCCACACGCCGAAGTACAAGTAATGCTGGGCTCTAGCTCATGGACGGGAAGGGTGATTGGGTCGGTGGGTGGGTAAACGGATGGGTGGCCAATTGATTGATTGATTGATTGGTCTGTCGATTGATTGATCGGTGGACTGACTGATTGACTGAATTATCGAATGAGATTGCGTCTAGGCTCTCGAAGTCTCGGCCGCCTCTCGATCACCACTTTCGGAACGAGCGCGCGACGATCGCTGACTCCCCCAATGGAGCTTCTCAGCTCCACAGAAAAGGTGAGCTCTTTCGATTTCCGCGCTCTGCCTCTTTGGAAACATATGCTCTTCAACTGCCACTCGAGAAAATGGCCTGAGTCATGCGGCCCATAGCCTCGTCTATTGAAGAACCCTCAGGCGGCAGGTCGCTGATAGGCTTTCCTCGATTCTCACGAAAAGAACCGAGTTTTTTCTCTCAAGTTTTGTGAGAACCACCCGAGCGGGTCAGGGAGCATGAGTTGGTCATCCGGAGGAATTCGTTCCTATTCCTTCATTCCATGTCGATTCCTCCGTTTCCGGAGTTTTTCATCCGATACCAGTCGGCATGAATTCACCACCACGACCTTCCCTCCGCTCCTCCATCCATCCATGCATGGACTCAGACAGGCGATTCTTGAAAGGGGCTCTCGTCATGAGCACCTACACTTCACGTATTTTACGGAGCGAATTCCGGAAAGAAACGAGATGAACCGGGCCAGCGGGAGAATCAGTTCAGGAAACAAAAAGAGCTCGATCCGCGAACTCGAAATCTCGAACCAGAGCTGGAGCCTGAAAGAATGGTCTACGAAAAATGAGCTTATCTGCGCACACCTCCGGGTCTGCGACGGCCGTATGCCGCTGACCGCTGAAGTTGGATAAGAAATCCGATCGAGAAGATGAGGAACGGGATGCCGGCTGGGGTGGAGGGATCCCGGTGTCGATACAAGTCGGAGTCCGCTGACAAGAGACGCCGGGGGGATGATGTGCGAGATCAGAGAAGCCTTTGCTGGTCCTCTTCCCACTGATGCTTCGTCGCCTTCGGTCGGTCGGTCGGTCTGTCGATCGATCGAGACATCAGCATGATCGCAACGATCGCTCTTTTCATCAATTTGACTATCCATCTGGGGAAGACAAGCCGAAAGGCAGAGCAGCCGAGCGAGCTTTGAACACAGTTACACATACACGATACAAACACAACGGAGAGACAAAAGCCTGTGAAGAAGTGTACGAATCTAGGAAAACAAAAAGATGGTCAGCTGCGGACGAAGGTTCCGAGTGTCGGATTCCGGACGCCCCTAGCGGATATACCGACACTCCCGCGCATTGATCGGAGCCATCGGCCAAAATTGGAGTCAAACAAGCAAACAAACTAACTAACTAACTGACTAAGGAAGACAACAAGAGAACCGGAAAGAAAGCGAGAGTACCAGGAATAAATATTATGCCGAGAGAGAAAGCGACTATGTGAGAAAGCGAGCGAGAGTTGAAAGGGAGTTGAGAGCAAAAAATGGTCTTTTTTCTACAGCGGAGGAATAATAATAAGGATAAGCGTACCCAACGTTAACGCTGTTATATCATCATTGTCATTCCATTGTCTCTTGGGCCTCGTTGGGAGCAGAGTCCGGACAGCGACCAGATACCTTCTGCCATCGACTCCTCTTAAACTTCAGCATTGATAAACCCACTCAACTCGTACGGAATTCTCGTTGTTGGCAAAGGCTTCGAAATATGTCCGTAAAATTCTAGGCTCCCTCGAATTATCCCTCAGAGGAATGAGTCGACCTCATTATCACCTATCGTCGTTCAGATGCGAGAGGGTCGGGGAACGAGATTCGAGAAAACAAGAACGAAAACGACAGTCACGACATCGCGACATGCGAGTCGACACTGACAGCACACTCCTCCCATGTTCAGGCTCCAAATCATTGAATGTCCGAACGGGAGTACGAATTCTCGGAATGACTTCGATGAAGAACAGTCGAGTCGGTCCACGTTTGGCCTGTATTGAAGTGGGGCAGAGGAGGACGGCTGGAAAACTCCGCTTCCCCAGCACCACGTCCCAGATCCTCACAGACGAGACGTAAGGGATGATGGACTTTTGAGCAAGATCTGTTAAGAGCAGAACTCTCAGCAAAAAAAAACTATTAATGGAATATCGTTGGAGTGGCAACGATGATATATAAGAATCGAAGATGAGAAGGATGGCCATGATGGTATTTCAACTTGATGATATTCTGAACGTTAATGATGATTAAATGAGGATTTAGCGTGTGGCGTGCGGTCTTCGAGGACACCATCCGCATGATGGAGAGACGAGGAAACTGATGAGAAAAAATGTCAATGATTCTGATACATGATTTTATGTGAGCACGAGGTAGTGACTACAACGATCTCCGGCTTCGAAAAAGAACTGTTATTCTGATGATGCGAAATGAAAAGAAAAGTTTACGTTACGCTTCTATCCATAATTTTGTGTTCTTTCTCCTCTCTACGGGTTCTTGGAACTTGCATTTTCGCTCCGAGCTCTCGTGAGTCGCTGAGTTGTAGCGCGGAAGTCGTCTCGTGTCGAGCCAATATTCTGATGCTATCATCTAGCATTCGATTCATGATGACTCGGCTATTCAAGGAGAGGTCGAACAGGAAGTCAATCGTCACTTCCTGCCTTGTTTTCGTCTTCTAGTATTTTTACCAGGACGCCGTGGAGTATTCACAATTTCCGGAGTATTTTCTGATGAATGATGGATGATCAGTAATCTATTAAGTCTAGGTCTATCTATTCATTGAGTCTATGAATGCGTGAATGAATAAATGGATGAGAGACGCATGGATGGGTGCTCGACGTAGAAATTCGAGCGAAGAGCTCTGAAGTTTCCCTATAATACGATGTCAAGAAATTGAGGAAGCCTTGCAAACCAATAAAGTGTTCCAAAATCACTGCGAGATGGCGAGCGGTGTTCTCGGAGACCGACGTTCTCTCAAACAACCGACCATTCATTATTACTACATAATGATAGTAATACAGAAAATCTGCTGAACTAAAATCGATATGTTGGATAATTTGAGATTCTGATAGAGATGAGGATGGACGTTAGCTGGATCAACTGTGGAAGAATGGATACAAAACGGGAAACAAACTGCTCCTTATCCATTATGAATAATAAGGACGATGCTGATAACGTCGATGATAAGTCATGCGAGAGTCGATGTTGTAATGATGAAAGGCTGCCGCTGAGAACTGAGAACTATGACGACCATGATCCTGACTAAGGTGATCTTGAGGTCTATATACATAACTATCTGACGATTGAATCGACTGACGGAGGAGCCATCTATCAATCCTTACCCCATATGTCTTATTATCCATCTTGAGAAATATCATTTTTCTTCTCGATCGTTCTTGGGACCGCGTATATAAAAACTTACATACGAAGATAGATATGATAATGATTACTACATACCAATATTGCTACCACAAACATGGGAGGTACGAGATGAGTGGGAGTCCAATACGACAGAGAGAGAGGTATACATACGACGCGACGGAGAGAAGCTCGAGAAATTTCGAGAATTTGCATGATGGGGAAGTGATGGAAAGGTGTAAGAAAGACGAAAACCCACTCGACTAAGAATGGAGAGGAGACGTGGGAAAACAAGTCGAATCAAATGACATGAGAGCACCCATCACTATATCCGATGAGATGATGACGATGACGGTGATGGAGACACCGTCAGAATGAGAGACATTGCAAACTTGCGACAGTCACACGTCTTTGGAAATCGAAATTCATGAGAGTAATTTCTGGGACGAATAAAGGATGAGAAAAAGCAATGGAAAAATGCCTCTTGAGAAAATGCTCTGAAGATAGCAGGGACGCGAATTTTTTCCACGGAAATTCCATTTTCCGTGGATCTTCCCCCACAAGAAGTGGAACGACTCGACTCACGTTTTCGAAATCAGATCTGACCTCACCCAAACAGAGCTTCTGATTTGATTCCCGGTAATTCAAGCCAGATGGACGGGAGGGTCTTGCAGAGCTACAAGGCAGACGTTCGTCGACGAATACGTCTATAAGATGTGCGAGTTATGTATTCCTTAGAGTTTAGGGTCTTGGCACCAGGTTCGAGAGACGAAGGGCGATAGTACTCGCATCCCGACTCCAGATTGAGGAATCCGTTGCATTCCGGTTGGGAGAAACAAACGACAAGTTCTCTCTCAGAGCGCCTTGTGACCGTCGAAACGGCGCGGCGTCGATCAGTCTGTATCGTACTCGATCCTTGCTGCAGACTTCCTCCCTCGCGGCCACGTCGTGGGCCACACAGCTCCATTTATCGAGAGAGTCGGGATCGAACATCATGCTAAGAACGAAAGGAGAGTGGTCGGCATTCATGGTAAGATAATGGAGTGCTCCCTCTCATTCTCGTTCCGAGGAAGCATTCGACACTCCTACACCGCGCGCTCCTTGCGCTTCCAATGTCTCCTCCGCTGACGTGGCGTCATCCTGAAGTCATTCAAGTCTCAGCATTCGGACGAACGATTCCGGAGTTGTTGGACGCTTCACAGAGTGATCTCATGAAACGGCAGTTTTCCCCGACGGTCCTCCTTTGGGTCTCGAATGAGACACGATAAGGAGGCTCCCTCCTCCGTGAAGCATTGAATTCAATCATACGGAGTCTCGATGGCCCCGATGACCTTGCGATTCCAGCCTCTGCGCTCAGCGATTGACGCGACGGTCATTTACTTCACAGCATCTCCGCCATGCCGAATCCGTACTCGGCACTTCCTCCTGCGCTTGAGTATCGGAGTGCGCTCGATCAGCTTGTGATCCGGCAGCATATCGAAGCGTCGGAGGCTCTCCTCGGATTCGAAACGAGTGACGGATACTCCATCTGTCACTCGATGGGACAACAGGCAATTAGAAAGCCCAGAATTCGAGTGGAGAAGGGAGTGTGTGGAGCCTCCGGGAGCACGGCTCATATCGGGCAGAAACTCCGAACTCTCTCGGCCATTGAGAGCACCGATTGCTGTACGCGGAATGTATGTGGACCGAGTCGTCCATTCGAGATGAAACTTGAAGATAATCGCGGTGACGAGGTCAGAGATCCTTGCGGTAGAACTCCCTCGACGTTTCACCACTCCAACGATGAATGACTCTCAAGATTGAAAGCATACCAGAGCTCCTAAGCTAGGTCTCGCTGAAGGTTTCGACGAGGTCGACTGATTACAGGTTCCCCTCAGATAGAGGTCTACTGACCCCTGCGGTGGTGTTCGTGCAGTTGTTCAGGTTTCCTCCAGAAGATCGAGGTCGCCGCACCAGCGAGCAGCATTATCGGCTACGTTCACTAAGAATGGTCGTTACGGGTTTCTGAGTTGAGCGTTCACGATTATCAGGAACGCGTTCAGTTTCGAGTTGACGGACCCATCTGTACCTTCAACCCTCGCGGCGATGTCGAATTCGATATCGTTCACGAGGACACGTATCAGAAAATCGGAAGGATTTCCAAACAAAGGTCCGGTCTCCTCCGTGAAATGTTCAGACTTCGACACTTTCGGCATTTCGCTCCCAATCAGCCTAGATGTTCACCTGAAAACACTCCTGATCCGTGCGGCTGTTTTCGTATACTTCATTTTCTTCGAAGACGAAGCCGGCAAATCGCTAGTCGGCTTATTACAAGGAGGGAATAACCTCGCCCCATCGTTTCCGCGTCTTTCCAAAAGCTCACTTGCTCCTCAATTATTCAAACATTTCTTGCCTCCTGACGCTATACGACACCAGTTTAGTTTCTCTATTCCCCACTGATGGAACAGCGTCGAGCGCCTCGCTCCGACAGCTAATGAAGAGCTTCGGAGCAAAAGAGCCCTAGGTGAAAGCGAAAAAAGGAGTATGACCAACAAAGCCTCTTTATTCACGGTAGAAAAGTTTCTGTTGCGTTCATCACAGAGGGGAATCCATCGCTTCCGGGAGTGGAATTCCGGTCCTCATTCCTCTCACAACCATTATGCCGACTTCCTAATCTGTATTACGAATTTCCTCTTCATGAAGGGATACTCGAGAGGATTGGGCTCCCGTGACGAGAACCTCCGATCGGAAGTGTCTCTCATGGAAGACGAGAAATGATCCCCAGCATTCCGGTAGCATCCGTAGGAGACTAGGAAGATCGAGATGATGAGAATAAAACACCATGTGACAACCAGGCTCCGGAAGGATGGCTGCGGAGAGCCTGCCGAGGCGCCTGTCCAAGGGCGGATGTCATCCGAGATTCAGCTCTTTCGCGACCCGATCGGCCAAATTCATCTTGTCGCCGACTTCCTTAGCTTCCGTCGAAAACGCTCGGAGAGCGATTTTCGCCAAGAGCAACTTCGCGATTTTCTTTTTTCTGGAGACCGCGCTGAAATTCCGTCCTGCAACGGTGAGCGTCATCTCGATTCGTTTGTCCTCGCGTATGATCGCTTTACTGTATTCGCACCCCGACGGAAACATCTCTTCTAGCACGGCGATGGGATTCCGAGGATTGTCCTTGAGGGTCTCAAGGAGGACTCGATCGCCCATCAGTCCCCTGAACACATCCCACGTCCTCGAGAAGTCTTGATTAGAATCGATGAAAACGGCACCGATGAGGCTTTCCATGAGATCACCGAAAGGTTTCGGAGCATCGACCAGATCAGCATCTTCGGTCTCGTCGTCCCCTATGAACGAATCACAGGGCCGACCTATTTCGACTGCCTCGGTGTAACTCGTCATCATTCGAAACAGCAGCGGAGAACGATGCAGCAAGCATCGGGAAAGCCCGGCTTTGGTCACGATTTGTGCGAATTGATTGTTGCATACAAGAGCCGAGCGAACAGAAGTCAATTGACCGGGTCCGAGGTGAGGATCGTTAGTGAAGATGAAGCATGACACTAGGTAGTCGATTACGGCATCGCCAAGGAATTCTAGCCTCTCATATGAATGCGTGACTCTGTTGTTATAGGATTGATGAGTTATGGCCTCAAGGAGGTATAAACGATTTTTGAACCGGTACCCTAAAATACTCTCCACCCTGCTCATCACATCATTGTGTCGCCTGATCGAAATATAATCATGATTCCCCCCAACAACGGGGTCGTAAGAGAGATCGAACCTGGAGAGGAAGGATCCCGAATCCGAATCGCTTAGAGAGAGACCCAAATACCGGAGGAATTCGAGTGCCCCGATCGGTCCTGATCTCTCGAGGTACACGCCGATCATCGCTTCAACGGAGTCCGCGCAAATTTTGCTCTTATATACCTGCAGCTGCAATTTGTTCCCCTCTCTTGAAATCATTCCCGGTACACGGAACGATTCCCGGGCGGAGAATATTCGACTCTCAACAGCTTCGTGGATTTTTTTGGGAACGGCGAGCTTCAGTAGATTCATGTTGGAGATCAGTCGGCATCTCTCTGCGGTCAGCGTGCCCTCGTCCGGAAGATCCTCTCGCGGGAAAAGATGGAGTGTGACCGCGATTTTCAGGAACGAATCACCCAGAACTTCGAAACGCTCAGAGTTCACGACGTCTTGAGCTGATGAGGGCGTCAGAGCGGTCAGGATATCCGCCGGGGAAGGTCCCGGCGAATTCTCGACTTCTTTGATGAACTTGAGCTCTGACGACGAAAATTTCGGGCTTACGAGTTCTGCTCCGCGAGAAGCGTCCTCGAGCATGGGCGGCCATCTCTGCGATGGATTGTAGCCGATACCCGTCTCGACTATTTTTTGCCTGTAGTGCTCAGCGATCAGCAACCGGTTCAAACGATGGGTACAGGTAAGAATCGTCCGTGCTTTACTCCATTGCGGGGCGCTGAGGAATTCCACTTCGAAGAACTCCAGAGGCACAGCCCAGAGCGCCCTCTCCTCGTCACTTGTTTGTTCTTTGAATTTGGTTTTAACCTTGTAGACATCCCGACAGAAATCGAGATTCTTCGGGATGCCCTCCAAAGTGAGCTTACGCCCCTCCTCGGTGTTCAATATCTCCCTTACGAAATAGCTGCATACTTCGCTCTCCTCCGTTCTCTTCCGAGAAACTACGGCGTTGATGCTGAACATCTGTTTTTCTTCGAAAGCTATGCTTCTGAGCAAGTCGATGTCGATGGTTTCGTGTTTCACAGGAACGAAGGCGGGGGCGGAATCGGAGTCGCATTCGAAATTCGATAGCCGACACACTCTCTTAAGGAGGTACGCGTGGAACTTGGTGCACAATTCCCATAGCTCTCGCGTCACCGTGACGTCAACTATTGTGTCGATGCGAACGATTTCGCGACCGTTGCGGGTGAAAATCGGGAAATCAGGTAAAGAAAATGCACAACCAGAGGCGAATGTGAGCAGACCGAAGCAAAGAGCTTCCTCTTCCGGGCGAAAGGTCCGCATGTGCGAATGGTCGTCGTTCAACGGGATCTCCAAGCGATTCCGGAAAACGTAGATCGATGCTCCCGCGGGCAGCGGCGGAAGCTTACCGGAATCCAACTCCCGGGACATGGCTCGTTCGCATTTGATGCTTGATTTCTGCTGGATTGTGTGACCTCCAAATAAGCTTTTCACTTCGTCCGATACTTGATCATCTGTCCATGTGTAGACGCCTGGTTTGGGGCGTTTGCGCGGGACTAGATTCTCGGTCAACTCGTCCAGTTCGTATAGGCGCTTGCAAGTTGCGAGAGCGGCCGACACCCGAGACTTTGGTTTGCTCGGCAACCACTTCCCATAAACTTCTTCCGGGTACAGCTTTGACGCCTTCGGCAGCAGAATGCTGCACCGCGACTCCACTTCATTCTGATTTTTAGACGGCCGACTATGATAAGAAATCAGCGGTCGCATAACTTGAAATCTGTCGTTTCCGAGCGTGTCGCAGTACCATTGGAGCACACTGCGGGCTGACTGGGCGGTGATGATGGCCGAGTTCAAAGGATCTTCTGGATTCGCGTATATTGTCGGAAGATCTGGGTCACCCTCCAGAGCGAGCTCTACATCGCTTTCACACATCACGTCCATATCGTGCTCCTGACAGTACCGCGTGATGATCTGTTCGGTCACTTTAAAGTCTCCGATATCGGAATTCACCTGAGGATATTCGTGGATATAATCAGCGGTGTTCGTGGGGGGAGAGGGGGAAGTCGGATTTCGTAAATTGAACATCGACCCGCGGGACGGAGGAGTGGGAAATCTCAAGCCATACTCGAGGAACCTCACCTTTGCTGCGCTCGTCGCCGCTACGAGTATTGCATATATCGACGGCTTCGCTCGAGCTCGCCCGCGACCCTGAACGTAGCTCCTAAAATTCATGTCTCCATTCATGCGCACAATTAGGTTGCATTGAGGTACATCCACTCCCTCTTCGATCACGGAGGTAGCGACCAACACATTGTGAACTCCAGTTCTGGAAAGGACAATATGTTTGAAGCATCAATGCCTTTCTCTGAAAGGGAACATTACGAACTGCCCCACGCCGATTTTTCTGAAACTTTGCCCAAATAATAGTCCCACCGAGAGATGAAGAACCCGCACCATGCGAGCTGCCAACGCTCGATAGGGACAGAATGAATCCGAGGTGTATTTCCAGGGTTTTTCACCGTATAAGGGTGTTTTTTCGAAGAAGAGATTCAAGAATGATGCCTGATTATTCGGAAAACAGAAATTCTCGTGTTTGAAAAGCGCGCCACAGAGCGACAGTCCGAGCGGATTCGGGAGAACTTCGTTGTCTTCACACGAAACGTCTGCGCTCCAAGAATCGCACCGGTTTCCGCGCGAGTCGCATAGATCGCAGTTTGAGCCGTTCTGGATTGCTCCAATGATCTCAGCAATGTCAGTGTCCGCGAAATCGTTGTTAATTCTGCTTCGAAGACACTTGAATGCCTTGAGTCTGAACGAGAGTGCCGGCGACGATGCGGAACCCAGTACCGTCAAGTTGGCTGAGAACATCCTCAGTTCAGTGAAAGGTTTCGAGAATCAAGGCGAAGCCACAGTGGGTGAGATTGACGAACTCCGAGTCGAGCTATGACGGAGAAGAGTATGATCTCGTCTCCGAAGACGTATACGATGCCGTTCCGAACGACCTGTTCTCGTACGACTACATCTGCAAGGTGCTCGACTTCATTGACCAACACAGGAGGTACTCGCTCGCTTCGATTCAACATACATTCAGGAGGGTCAGGGACAGGGATTATATCCGACGATTCAAGCAGTACAGGGAGCACCTCGGCACGCTCCGCGAACGTTATGTGAAGGTCGCACGGTATTGTAAGGAATCGTTTGATTCCGCCCGCGCGCATGGCCTGATCTTCGTCGTGCATGACAGAACGTTGAGGATATGGGCGCTCACTAAAGCTAGGGAGCTCGGGCTGACAGAGTTCACTGCTAGTCCTTCTTGGAAACGATGTTCTCCGGTTGCAGTCCTTGATATTCAATCAGGTTTGTCATCCGCAATTCCGACCGATGTGGCTGTGTGTCCGGCCCAGAAGCGGTTTCGATGCCCCACGGATAGAATTTCCGAGCCTGGCAGAGATGCTCTCCGATGTGAACGAAGCGTGTTCATCGGCGAGCTGTTCGCGGTGGCCGTTCATAATCTGTGGCTGTTGTAAAAAGACACTATGTGTCAAGTGTTTCTATGTCGATTATCATTTCTGCAACGAAAATGCGCAATGAATATATGGTCGTTCTATTGCCCGGGAGCCGGGAGGTCCTGTCGGCTTCCTTTTTCTTGGGCAGAGTGCTTTCCAAATTATCTGGCATCATTCTTGACTCTCTTCTTCGAAAAAACACCCTTATACGGTGAAAAACCCCGGAAATACACCTCGGATTCATTCGGTCCCTATCGAGCGTTGGCAGCTCGCATGGTGAGGGTTCTTCATCTCTCGGTGGGACAGTTATTTGGGCAAAGTTTCAGAAAAGTCGGCGTGGGGCAGTTCGTAATGTTCCCCTTTTGAGATTCGAAGAGACGGGAAAATTTTCAGGTCGCCTCCGTGTCCATCTGGCGGCCGGAAACTCATCGGGAAGCTCATTCCGACCATCCAGGCTTCTAATACCCTTTTCTTTCACGAAGAAGGAAACTGCAAATACTAACCTGAAATTTTCCAACGTGGAGCCTTCGTTTTCCACGAAGCCTTCGTCGGCGAAATCGACTATCTTCGTCTCTTCGCATTTGAGAGACGAATTCCCCGCTCCCATGACGAAGCCCGGCCTGATGAAGCCGAAGCGCTGAGGATGTTTCCGGGATAACGTGGTCAATACGCACCAGAGGGCGAAGACGGTGTACCTCTCCCGGGCGAAAACCACGCAGCACAGCTCCCTTCCGCAGTCCCGAAACGTCTCGAAGATGTTGAGCAATCTCCGGAGCTTGGGTGGTACCGAGAATTCGAGATCGTCGGCCGGGATCGTATCGGCGGCTCCAGGATCCGGGCAGAGGACATAATACGGATTTCGCATCTCCCCCTCGCGGATACGCTGCAAGCACGCTGTGGACCGTTCGCGAGCAGTTTCGATCTCCAGAAGTAACGCACGCAGTCCGTCCAGACGTGATTTGTCAGCAAGACTCACGTTCAGGAGATGTTGAACGGCTTTCAGCCTATGCTCCAGTGATTTCATTGCTCCGTGGGGACCCACTTCGATGAGCATCGTTTTCATTTTAGCGCTAAAGTTTCCAACTTCGGGAGACGCGGCAGCAGCGAATGCGACGACAGCATCACTTTCTTGGTATTCGACGATCATCTCTCTGGGCTTTGTCCCAAAGTTCATCGCACTCATTGACGTGGCCAATGTCGAATCCAGACGAGAACACAGACCGCGAATCTCGGACCTGACCTGGGTCGTCTTGACTTTCTTGTTCAGGACGGACGCTGTCAAGCCCAGAATTCGAGGACGCTTCTCGGGGCCCATCTTGACGTAGTGATTCTGCATGATTTGAACGTAACAGGACTGCCCAGTTGCCGCATGGCATTCGTCGAAGACCATCAGATTGATTTGGTCTAGATTGATGAAGTTTTGATTCAAAATATTCGAGAAGACCTGCGGAACCATCACCAGGACGTTGTTTTTCTCGATCTCCCTGCGCCATTCAGACTCCTGCCAATTATCCACGGTGTCCCCACCGAAATAACAGCCGACTTCAGCGTCCACGTGTATCTTGATGACAGCGGCTTGCTGCTTGACCTGCGGTAGGAAATTTTCCCTGTCAGTTGAGCATACGGACGGGCTTCGAGAATGTCGAAAGATTCATTCCGATTCCATGACACATATTCCCCCGATCCGGATTGTATGCGCGTGCATCGAAAGGATATCATAGCACGAGTCGTTCGACACTTGATCGCGCATCTCGAATCGCGGATTGTTCTACTCACCAACGGTACAGTCGGAGCTAAGAACACTGATCTCCTATTCCCCCCGTCAGGCCGGGTCTCATACAATAGTTCTTTAATGAGAAGTACTGAGACGAAAGTCTTCCCCGTACCAGTCCCGAGACAGATGATGATATTCCTTTCCACCGCTTTGAGGAGAAGTTCGATCTGGTAATCACGGGCTGGGAACTTCCCCGCATGTTCGGATTCCTCGTCTTCCGGCCTGCCTCCATTCTTCGCATCGGGAGCCGACATCGCTGCCGGGTTATCCCCTTGCTTCTCCACACTCTGTCCTCTCAGCGTTACCGAGACCAACCTATCCGATCTCCGCGTGAGTCATCTGTTTACGGGATTGGACCGTAGGAGGAGCTAGCCTCACTGGAGGCATCTCGGACGCCGCGGTCAGACCGGATCATTCCAATTTATCCCTGAGCCGTTGGATCCCGGACCAGAGGGGCACAGACAAGGCTTCTCTCAATCCATGCTTGGCAGTAGAACCCAAATTCTTCAGGGGCAGATAATTGGTGGAATGCTGCACAGATGTTCTTGCGGAGACTACCCATTCGAATCGGCCATAGAAAGAGAAGATTCGCACCCTCTCCAGTCGTCTGCTAAATCAAAACAAGGGACGTCAAAATTGCAGCCTCGTCTCGAGGCTCGATAATCAATCCTGTCAACGAGACACCGTCCCTGCCGGGGAGGCACATCGCGATGCCAACTGCCAGAACTATCTGGAGGATCGACAGGTGTTTGTCTGGGATGGCGCACGGCCCCGGATATCGGACACCATCATTCTGATGTTTTTTCATGAGCTTCCCCTCCTCTCTAGATCCCTTACCCCCGGCAGCGAGTTTCCGGAACATCGCGCCGCGCAGGCAAACCTCTGCCATTCATTCCCCCGGAATGAAATGCACCTCAAGGGGTCGCTGAGCGCCGCGGCTCGAATTTTGCGGCAGCCGCCGCTCCGCCACCGACCTCTATACTCCGCCGCCGGGGCCCTGGTAAGACGGACGAAGGCGCGGCCCACCCGAGCACTCAATCGCCATAAGTCATGGTGGGAAGACGCGGGAAAATCTCAGAACCTTTACGCTGAGCTGACATTGGGATGCAGATCCACAGGGTGCGAATACGGCGGAAGGCTCCGGAGCAGGGAGCTCGACCCATAATTTCGTGGTCACCGAGAGAGATCATCGTCCGCACTTGAAGTTGAAAAAAAATTTCGATGGTCCTATGATATTCTACCTGCTTGAAAGCGGAGACGCGACGGGAAGAATTGTGATCATCCTCCTCACCTATCTCGCGGTGCGCCATAGATCCATCGGTACGCCGAAGATATAATAGGTGCGGCGCCGGCCGCCGTGGCCCCTATCTCTGCCCGCGCGCCGCCGCAAAAGATCCCTAGACGACGAAATCAAGCTCAAAGGATGAGCATCCTCCGAGAAGCGCATCGATGGGGTGGTATGCTCTATGGGCATTTCATTAGCATCCGAGAGAGTCAGAGCCCGTTCACCATCCATGATCGCTCTAGCTCGTCTCTTTGCTATGTGGAAGTCCGACTTCTGATAGAGCCCGGGGTCATAGCTTGATTTGTTAATTTGTGGTGATCTTTCTGCATGATACGGGCATGCTGCAGCATCCTGGACTCCGACAGTGGCGTGGGTCTGTCCTAAGGCCACTGAGGACTTTCCGCGAAGGAATCGATCATTAAGGTCAAAACAAGCTTGGAATGGATCGATTACAGTTTCGGAGCGGAGCGTCGAAAGATCAATTCAGAGGCGTAGAAGCTTTGGATTCGGAAGTATTTAATCGATCACCGTTTTCGGTCACAATAACGAGTCTCACCGATCTCACCGGTCTCGGAGAAAGCTGTGATTTCTGATTTCGGGCCCCCTATTCCAGAAGTTCGAGGACCTTGAGTCATGTACGGAGCTCTAGTCTGAGATTCTCCCGAAAACCTTGAACGAGCGTGTGAAAAAGTCTCTCGTTTATTTGACCCATTGACGCGTGAGGCCGAGGAAGAATAAAGGGCTCGAATTCTGAAGCGAAATTTCGAAACATTCAAGACGGGTTCGTGGTAGTCCTCGACGTTTCGTATTCCTCTCGACACACTGGATGAAACAATCGGCAGGACCAGGGGAGGGATTAAGAGCTCGGTATGACGAAACACCGATCATAGAGTGAAGAGACTCTGATTCCTGAAAGTCTCGAAATAACCTGAAGCGCACTATTCGGAGAGGGTACCTGGGTCAAAGATCTTTGCGATCGACAGAGCTTTCAGACCCAGGGTTCCGAAGCAGAGCGCAATGCGTTAGACATTCGGGTCCCTGCTCTTTTCATGGACCTACCCTATTCTGAGTTCATCGGAAATCGCAAGCTGTTTCTTTCAGCAAGCGTTCCGTGATGACCCGATTCCTAGTGTCTCCTGCCGTATGGAAATGGCTTGTAAATGACCTGAATGATTCGTCATCGCTCGGAAATACCCCAGAACCTTCGATGTCCGGCAACCTGGGATCGAAATCTGGCGTTTGACGGATTCCTGAGCGATCACTTGGCGAATGCCATGGGGACATGCCCGCATGTTCGAGCAGAACGCATACTCTGCATGAGAAGCATGTCCCTGGCGACGACGTCAGGAGAATGCTTATTCAGCCCATTTCAAGCATTCATGCATTCATTCTCGCAAAGGCTGAGACGTCGTGGGGCACTTTCGCACATTGTCGGAAAAAAAAGATCGGGGATTCTCTTGCGTGATTTCGGCGGCGGCTTCTTCCGTCTAGGAGGGAAGTAACTGCACGTTCTGTAAAAAAACGATTCCGGCAACTCAACGCGCTCAGCATACGCGGGGTACAATACACAGATGGGTGGAGAGCGAAGCAAGCTCATCAGGAGCAGAATCCCGTTTTGAAGCACCTGGAAGAAAGTCGCAATTCAGTCTTGAGCCCCGTGATGCTCTCGTGTCAGCCGGGGTAGCGCTACATAAATCAGAAGACTTGAAATGGCGTATATTCTTTCAGGAATATTCCTACCAGACAATCCCATCCTCACTGACGTCAAGGCTCAACTTGATCACATGCGTGCACGAGCAAAAAATTCAGCTCATTCGTAATCGCGTCGCGAGTAAGACATCTGGGTTTCAGTCGTTGAAACGACCGATGTGACGGGACATGCCTTGGCTCATGTCATGATTGGCACTCTTGGAGCATCGGAAAGCCAGTCCGTCCCATACCACGCCGAAAATCTTGGGAAGACGAATAGTTCGACAATAGCACAGGTTTTCATCACTGCCACTCTGCTGTGGCCGAGCGGAATTGAGCACGAACGAACACTCCCCCTGGTGGCAGAGGCCGCTGCACGTACATATGAAGAAAGCAGCTGGAGTTTTGAGAGTCATCTTTCCAAAACTGCTCCATATTTTCTGTGCGGCTCAGGCCCTCCGGCGAGTGGCAGAGGAAATACGTATATTGCCCCCGGATGTAGACAAGCTCGTCTCGAACGGAAAAAAACTCAACAAGGCTGCTTCCAGAAAGACGAACGCATGCCAGGAATCCCCTTACAACCTCAACCGGTTTTGACGAGGTGGGGTACATGGATAAATGCCGCCTGTTCCTACGCCAAGCCGCTTCTTCGCTCAGTTTCCAGAGGTCGTGAGTGAGTTTGATGAGAATGTCGCAGCGAGCATCCTTTTGGTCAAAGAGCTGATTGCCCAGCCTCCTTCAAAGCAGGATTCCGCTTTCCTTTGAGTCAGCGAATATCGCATGGCTGTCCTAGGGAATCGAGCGTCTCGAGGGGCATTAGCTATTTTGACTCCGGCAGTCGATATCTTCGTCGGAGCGATCGAGCGACTCAATAGACTTCATTCCGGGTCGTGTCTAGAATCACATTGGTTACTGGACAACTCGGCGTCGCTCGAGCAGACGCTGCACCATTTCCTCTCATCAGTCATTTCCCGCTTTCGAAGTCTTCAATCATGCTCTCTAGTGGCTGACACGATGCAGGATGACTCCTCTTATCCTCCAACGATGTAGCACATAGGGCTTGTCTCACCGGTTTTCGGGGCTCATCAAGAACGCTCATACTGCTCATCCCGCACATTTTTCAGCGCTTGAGCATACGGGCTCCATCTATCTATCTATATCTATCTATATACATAAAAATGGAAGTCCACAAAATCGTTGTGTCGTATGGACTCAGTTAATATTGAAAACATACTCTAGATATTTTAAGAGGACCTTCAGAAGTTTCCCTGGTACCCCCCCGGCACACGAGATCGACGATTCCGCTTCTAGATTTTAAACATTCAACGATTTTACGTGATTTTTGCCTACTTCGTTGTTATTGCCTACTTCTGATTGAGTTTATCGGAACAGAAGATTGTTTTCAGGCTCCTTTGGAACGGGTGGAAGACAAGACGGTCTTCTGGAGCCCACTTCTGGGTGGGGAATCATTTTAAGAATAGTTTCATCAGTGCGGGCTGGTAACGGTTATCAGTTGTCCTCAGAGCAGGGGAAAATCTTCCTTAAGTTATTTCTTCTTCTTCTTCCTCCATTCTTGATTAGGAGGCCGACGAGGACAATAATCAAAAACGGGAGGCCAGGAGGAGAGTAGGGGAGGAGTGAAGAATGGAAGAAACATATATGGGGAACGAGAGGAATGAGAAATAGTAGGAGATCCGAGAGCAGAGGAAGAACGAGGAAGAAGGACCAAAGAGCCTAAGAAGAGGCACGGGAAGGAAGTACCAACGAGGTAAAAAAGATAAAGAAGAGAAAAATGACAGGGACGGAAAAATAGCAGAAATTCAGGGAGAGGGAGCGGGAACAGGTATCGAGAAGTGATTGGAATGTGTGAGACAGGGGGGAGTGAGAACGGGAAAAGAGGAGGCAAACGCTTACGATATCATGAGAAACGGGAGCAGAGGAGGGGATTAAAACGTGGATAGAAAATTGGAGAGATATGGGAAATGAGAAAAGGGTGTAACGGGAGGATGGGGACATCTGAGAGTAGACGAGTAGCGGGGCAAATACGCGAAGGGACGGGGAAAACAAGGGAAAAGTATGAAATGATAGAAACGGACGAAGTGTGGGGGAGTACAGAGTGACTCGGAAAAGAAGCACACGACAGAGGGGAGAGGAGGGTAAGTGGAAGAAGAGGGACTGAGCAGACAATTGGGAGAATTGAGGAGATCCGGGAGGAGAATAGAAACGAGGAAATGAGAGTGACGGGAGCCAAAACTGAGAGCAGCAGAGAAACGGGAAGAATCGGGGTAGTGGAGAAAAGGGGAAAGCCGGGGGAAACAAGGGAAACGAGGAGGAGAAAGAAAATGGGGAAATATCTGATCCAGGCGGAGAGAGGGGGGACACGAAGGTGAGAATAGTGTGAAAGAAGGAGAGATCGAAGTATAAGAGGGGGAACGGGAAGACGAGAGGATCGGGGGGTGGCGGATAGACGGTTGAGCGAGGAAAGTAAGGAGGAGAAGGGAGGACACAGGGAAGTAAGGGAAGATGTGAAAAAGTCAAGGGTTAGTGAAGGAAGAGAACCAATTCTGAAGAGCAAACGAGAGGGAGCCTGAAGGGCGACCGGGAGACGAATAGAGGAGGGAATGTGTGGAGCAGCGGGAAAAAAACAGAAATCGTGACCGCGAAATTAGGTACGGGTAGAGATCAGAGGTTCTGGAGCAGAGAGAAGAAACTCGGATACTAAGGGACAAGAATCGAGGAAGAGGAAGTTCTATTGAAGCGAAGAGACGAGCTGGGAATACCCAGATCTTGACAACGCCACTGATTTCTAGATTTTGTTCGTCACGATCTTAGAATAAACATTCATATAGATACAATGTAAGCCGCAGCGCAGCGCGGCCGGGCACGCTAGTCTATCATAAATCAGTATTCCGGTCTCCATCTTCTCAAAAAAACCCACACCTCTTGATCCTTCAGATAGCTCCAGGGGTCGGCGTCCGGATGTGTCGCCACGGCAGGGTCGGAGTCTCGTTGACATAATCGAGTTATCGAGCCTCGGAACTTTGAAATACTCCCAGGCTCGTTTGAAGGTATTCCACTCCCCCCGTGAAATTCCAAGCACCCAGAGTTCTCCACCAACTAGTTTCTCAGAACTCGACAAATGGCAAGTTTCTCCCGCTGTTACCTTTATTCTCTTTTGCTGGATGTCTGCTTGACTGTTTACCCTGCAATTCGAACAGCACGCGCGCGGCAGCTTTCCACCATAGATGTTCCGTATGGCCTCTGACCTCTCTCTGAATCTCTATTAGACAGAGACGAGACCGCGGTCGTGCCGGGGCCAAATGAGCGGGAATTCGATGCCGAACATTTTCGCCGGTGAGGATCGAATGAGTTTGTCGCGGAAGGTCTGCGACGCGTTGTTCGACTATCAGACGCTCAAGATCGTGAATATCGGCGACAAGAAAATCGGTCTGCTGCACAGAATCATCCAACTGCTCATACTCGGATACATTCTCGGGTGAGGAACTCGTGTCCCGGTAGCGCGCGACGAGCGGTCGGTCCTGTTTGTCGCTTGACTCGCGTGTGTCGACTTCTCCGAATGAATAACACCGAGAGAAACATCGTCGCTATCAGTGACCCATGAATTGTGCAGCACTCGATTGCATTTTTCGCTCCTCCGGATGGCTTCGGAAGCTTGTCCACTATCTCTATCGGTCGAGAGCTGGAATTCTCCAGCTAGACGAATCCTCTTGCTATGGCCTCTGGCCTCTGACCTCACGATTCCTCATGTGCCTTTCAGTTTTGTCATCATCTTCAAGAGAGGCTATCAACAATTCAGCACGTATAACTCCGTCACGACAGCCAAAGTAAAGGGTGTGGTTTCAACTCTCGACTATCGTGATGAAGATTTCGTCAAATCCGTGGCTTATCCAGCAGCTTATCGACGGATTTGGGATGTATCCGATCTGGTTGTGCCCCCGAGCGTAAGTGAATGAACGAACTGAGCTGACGACTCTTTCCGAACAAATCTCGTATGCCCGCGGGTGCACGCCATCTTTTCGGTAAATTGGCTGATGATTGACCACTCTTGCTGTCGTTGGGAACCCCGCCGAGATCCAGACCCACCCGAGCGGGTCCGGAAGTTATTGCACCAGCGAGATCGATGCCTTAGAAACTCATCAATATATTTTCGGTTGAATTGAAGGAACCAGACGCGTTCTTCGTTACAACGAACCTTATAATCACTGAACAAGTGACAGCCCGTTGCCCCGAGGAGTTGATGAAAGATTCGACCTGCGAATCCGATTCGGACTGTGAAGATGGACGCACTCTTCTGCTGGGTCACGGATCACAGACGGGGTCCTGTGTCGCCGCAGATCATCCGACAGCTCATCAAGGCGTTTGTGAAATTCGGGGTTGGTGTCCTGTTGAGTACGACGAAGGACCTCTGTAGGTGTCGAATGTTTTTCCAAGCGCCTATTTCTTTTCTCGACTTCCAAGCATTGACGGGAGAGGTTCCCTTCCTTCCAGCAAAGGTAACCAAGCTCTGCTCAGTGGGGTTCAGAACTTCACGGTACTTCTGAAGAACTATATTGAATTCCCTACGTTCCGATTGAAACTGTGAGTCGAACGCGATGGAATTCCCGACTTCCTCCGGCTCTCAGCGAGCTTGTGGAAATTCGTTCCACATGTAGATTGTGGGAAAGCATGGTCATCCGGGATATCAATGATCTTCGCCAACTTCAGGCGGAACATCGCCGACAGCCAGAACCGGTCTTATCTGCAAACATGTGTTTACAACCCGGACACGCATCCGCATTGTCCGAAGTTCCGTCTGGGCGATATCATCAATGCCACTGGACATACGTTTAATAGCATTGCAGCAAAGGTGAGCTGTTTGCGTCTAGAACTCGTCTGCGATTCGTCGATACTCGATTTTCACCTCGAGAATCGAGATCATTGATCCGTTGCGCTCTTCTCGCGCAGGGCGGAGTGGTCCACATCGTGATCACCTGGAATTGCAATTTCGATCGACATATCAGATACTGCGTTCCGCGCTACGACTTCAGTCGGATCGATGACAGTCGCGCGCAGCTGGGCAGAGGCTGGAACTTTCGACATTCTCATTATCACAATGCTACGCAAAGGACGCTCTTCAAAGCGTATGGTATAACGTTCCGCGTAGCGGTCTCTGCCAGAGGCGGAAAGCTCAATCTCTTGCCATTGGCCATCAACATAGGTTCGGGACTCGGCCTCTTAGCCGTGGTAAGCGGGGCAACGACGCGTCATCTCGTCAACAGTGTTTCCTTGACAAAATACTCGTCATCGCCTACTCATAACCGGGCAATTGTCTCGCAGGCTAAGGTCGTCTGCGACTTCGTGGTGCTCTACTGCCATAGCAATCGGGAGCTCTATAAACAGCATAAGGTGCGCTTCGTTGAAAAGGGAGGACGGAAACGCCGGGCAACTATCAGCATCACCGTTTAGTTCCCGGAACGCCATCACCAGACAGGCTTCGAGCATCTCACGCTCTCGATCGGAAGGATCTGCCACGGAAGAAATGCTCAAGGGTGATCAAGTGATTCTCACAAGCATCGACGGAAGCATATGACATATTTCCCCGACCTCTCTACCCGAAATCACCGACCTCCCTAGCTCAAAGAAAGACTCAAATTAGGACAGTCATTCAGGGCGGAAAGTTGCAACGATGGGGTAGTTCAGGGTCACCAGCGGGGCATTTGCTAGGGGCCTCCCTTAATCTGCTTCTATTCTCGGAACGTGACTCACGAATATCCCGAGTAGTGCGGATATCGGGACCACACTCTTCGGAAACCCGCATCAGGTATTCTTGTTATCAATGTCGGTAAGCATACGGAGGTACGAAATGCAACGATATCAAGATGTATTATTCTCAGACCAATGAGTCACCGAAAGCTCAGCTTGTCGATTGAGTGATAGTGGAGATTACCTCGAGCAGCGACTCGGAGTACACAAGCGTTTTGATACAATAAAATAAATTCGGAACGCGTCCCAAGGTCCGATGACAAGTCGTGAGTTGGTCCTGTTGTGGTCAATCGGATCTGAGGAAGCAGGCTCGAACATGGTGCATGATTCGACAGGGGTCCGGCGAAGCTCGATGTCTCGAAGTAATTGAGTCAAAGCAGTCATGAGCACAGTTTCATACCGAGACCTGAGTCCCAAATTGTAACGCCTGTAGTTAGTAATCATGGCTAGTCACCGGTCGATTTCTCTCCCCGCAGCCTATAGTCCATCGGAGGAATTCCCCGATAATCCTAGGGATGCAGATCAATTCTAGGAAACCTATGGAAAGACGATATCGGAATAACTCATCATAATTTATTCATCTCAACTATCGCCGAGACTCATCACTCTGACAGAGCTGGACCACTTTATTCACAGCTGCGATGCTCTGTGCTATCGACCCGAGTCTAGGGGTCCGGTTTATACACTGCTAAGTACAAGTGGGAACCCATGAGCTCGGTGCGATTCGGAAAATCCACTCGCACCTGCTCTACTGGAGGAGTTCGGAGGCGAGTTGAACCGCAGAAAATTCACAGTCCGCGAGCCCTCTTCCGTGCACTGTGCGCTCATGCTCCAGTTTCTATGTACAAACGATCGGAAACTACTGACTCCGTAAGATCAGCCACAATTTCAATGAAGACGAGAAGGAGAAACTTTTTGGAACTCGGTAGGAGCGCGGAAGTTCCAACCAGAAGTGAAAGTAGAAAGTCCGTCTGTTCAAGGTTAGAGAGGACGTGCCCTTGAGATTTTGTTTTCTCGGGATGCGATCAGCTTCTCGCCGGGTTATATCGCAGTTGGCCTTGACTCGTGACAATCGGGAAGCCACTGACTAGGGGCGTTGTGCTAGAACTCATCGTGATGATCGAAGAGACCGGTACTAATCCCACGGGCTCTGAGGTGATAGGTGTTGGCGCCCCCAGAACCGCGCTAGGAAGGACTCCATTCGGCATGGAACAAGCACTGACTTGTCCCGTAGTCAGATTGCTGGTTAGCAATTGCGTACTATTCGGTATGACAGCGCTCGACATCACGGCTCCCGAAATTCCTTGGCACACCCGCGCTTGTTTGGCAATACGCAGCTCTGCGTTCTGCTGGAGTAGGAATTCGTTCGTCGACATCAAGTCTTTCACCTGTAAGAGATCATAAGATCGAAAATCCATACATTGAATCGCCCGACATCGGCAGAGACACCGTCGACCCCTTGCTTCCCCGAGCCTCCTTTTCTCGCTCACCTGCTTTTGTAGGTCTTCCAGACGGACTCTGAGGATGCGATTCTCCCGCTCAAGACTGCCCACTAAGTCATCTTCCGTGTAAATAGGTCCACCGCTCGAGGGTCTCCGCCGCTTGTGACCGATCGGCGACCATCGTTCTCTATCGATGGATCTCTCCACTAGCCTGGGCATGGGCTTGACAGGCGAGTATATGTCTCTCTCCATCTGGAACCTAGTGAGCACAAAGGTTAATTCGGAGGTTCCGATTTGAACGACGAATGATGGATGCTATAATTGAATTGATTGGATAAGACTGTTCGAACTCATTCGTCGAGGCTGTTCTCTAACCGGTCTTCGTAGTAGGGGGCGACGTGAGTCGAATCTCGGGCGTGACCGTATGCGATTCCGGGATCATCATTAGGACTGAGCGCGCTGAGCTCGTGTCGGAACTTGCAACGACGGCCGCGATGGCACTGTCCTGCGAATCGGTTCGTTTGTCGATTCAATGAGTAGGAATCCAGGCTGGTTGTATCCCCGAACTTTATCGAAGATTCTCTGATAGAGATGTCGCGCTTACTTTTCAGGAAATCTTTGCATATCGGTTCCGAGGAATCCGTCGTCGAATTCAGGTTCCCAACACTGTGCGGTAATTTCCCGCTCTCATGATACCGCCGCTCATCATCTTTGCTCGCGTGCACAAACTTGCAGTCCGCCCTGAATCACAGAGAGCCTTATTTAATTCAGATCCTCTGGTGAAAAAAAAGAGAACGGAATCATCCCAATGGTAACCACTCACCTAGTGCATCCTAGATTCTGGAAATCGTGACAAAACACCAGATCTCCGTGGACTGAATCCCCTGAAGCAAGAAAATGTCCTCGCATTTTATTCTCCTTCGAATTACACACGAGAGCCGTGTTCCGTCATGTCATCAGACAGTCGCCCTTACCGGGATGTGCGAATTTACATTGGGCTCCTCGGAAGCATACATTCCTCAGGAAGTCTCGACAGACTCCTCGCGAAGTTGGTTGTTGATTTTGTACATGTAAAGCCTGTGTCAGGGGGGGATTTTCAGATCAAGGGTTGTTCTTCGAATCGAGGATTTCTTCCCGCTAGGTCCGCCGAATATCTAGGCCGACACTTTAGAATTCGGATCTTTCATACGTACATTCGGAGGTGTTGATGCCTTGGTATGCTGTTCTCTGGACTCTTGATGGTCCACAGAATCTGGAACCATAGCGTGAATCAGGTACCTGCCGAAATGATTCCATTCTCGGATTTTCGAGAGTCGGGCAATCGAACTCACCGGATTTCGGGGGATCCGAAGCGCAATTCGTGTGCGTTTTCACTTCTGGTCCCAGCATCCCATTCGCGTGGGTCGCCATCTCCATGGGATCGTTGCTTTCAGCTTTTTGATCTTCCTCTGACATGCTAGAATTTTTGGAACACTCCGTTTAGCTTTCCTCTTACCCACTACCGGCTAGGATTCTTTCGAGCTACTTGAAAGTGCTACTCGGCGTCGCGATCTGAGCGCTCTTCACGCTCGGAGGATGCAACGTGCAAGATCGGGAATCGAGAGAAATGAGGAGGACATTTCTTACTTGAAGTGTATGAAGCTCAAACACGGCGTCTGAGTGATCAACGGGTTCCCCGTTGTGTAGAGTATTGGCATCAGAAACGGGACGGGTATCGCACCTCTGCGCAATTTTCACGGTCACTTGTGCGGCGTCCCTTTAATCTGAGATCTACTTGATCCGATTAGCAAAGGAAAACGGTCAAGGACTCGAACGCTGGTGCATCCGGAAGAGGTTGGAACGAGAACATCAGCACGATCGGAACTTTCAGAACGAAAACACTTCACCGACGAGCGCGATTTTTACCGACAATTCCCCGGCGGGACATTATCGCAGCAAAGAACAGCGTCACGCCACAGAAGAGTTAAGGGTTTTAAAGTTCCGTTGCATCACATCCCAAAGTCAGATGTTTCGCTATCTTCGTACAACTTACTGGTGCAGACTCTCGGGGAGAGAAGAACCACAGGCTCGCTTGTTTAGGCGGATTCGTCGCAGTGGTACCTCTGTGGTACTTTTCGCAGTCGAAAACAGATGGAGAAGACAGTCGTTGTCGCCGGCTTCGGCGCGGCTAAGGACGACGGAATATATCATGCTTCTCACAATACCATGATTGATTGAATGACATTTAGTTTATTTACAAGGATTGATTGAATGATTGAACGAATGACATTCCATCTATAAAATAGGAAAATTAAGTATTCTAGTATCACACATTAATAAGATGATATATGAAGCTCCGGTAAGGCTGAATTAGACGGGAGGTTCGCTCGAACCATTCTGGCGTTTCCACGCTGGATTTCCACGGAAATTCTCTGCATCGGGAAGCTTGTCCCCTTTGATTTCCCGTGCGGCGGGGCCCTGAAGGGCCCAGTCCCGCGCCGCAGGTCCCCAGACCCCGGAGTTTTCCAAAGCAAGCGGCACAAACTCGTATCCTGCGAGCAACTCCCGATATTTAGATTTCTTCCCGGCCTCTCCCCTCAAGGCGACCGCCCCCGGAGTTGGGGCAGTAGATCTGAAGCTGACCGCAAAAGAATCCCTAAGTGTAGCATCCCAAATGAGTCGTCGGCATCTCGTCCGAGGACCTGTCGTCACACACCACCAATGAACGAAGGAATGAATGAATAAATAAATAATGATTTATGATGAAGACGAAAAGGGGGCGATTATTCTTTCGGTTCAATTGTTGAGCCTTCAGTCCCATTGACGCAGAGCTGGTCCCTGGGTTCCTAGGAATTATGACTTCCAGCTCTCCTCGATGCACCGGAACTCTCCCAAAGAAGACCTCGGCGTCTATTTTCTCAAATTCCCCCGGCCGGGGAGGGGCTGCAAATATTTCAAGAGGAACTGCGCGTCGGAAAAGCGATGACGCAACCGCGGGGGAAGGCGTGCTCTCGATGTTCGGCGATGATCAACACAAAATAGTTACATGCATCCGCTTATTCCCCATTCCTCACGATGTTCTCAAAATATTCTGGAAGCCTCAACGGGGGCTTCCATCAGAGGGGGGCTTGAATAAGGAGATCCACGGTAGGCGATACCCTTAGGAGGTCGTTCGCATTAAGTCCTAAGCTGCTCTCCAGGGAAGCTCATGTCACGCCATCGATCTCAAACCGGAGCTGGTGTGACTATAGTAATCTTTAGGCTGTGCCGTACGTCATCCCCGACAAATCCCGGATACCAGAAGCGCCCGAATTCGCCATCTTTCGATCCTCTATGTCAGTAGCATTTTTGAATAGTTTCACGTCTAAAAGCCGTAAAGTCCCGGGTGAGAGACCCACCACGAACATAAACCACAAAAAAACTCGATTTTATTCTCACTCGCCAGCCAATCACTCTCATCAAATGAGACGCACTCGAGTCGATAGATACAAGGGTTCAGATCCGAGAGCCGGCAAATGAGATGAATTCGGTTTCTCAGCCTGAGTGAGCGAGACGGATGCCGGAATAGTCGGATGAGTCAGGTGCTCATCTCCTGTCCCAAGAAGGTTATTCGACTCAAGCCATGAATGCCCAACACACCTTCAAGGCTGAGCTACCGCGCTCTATCGGCTTGCTCCCTACCACATAGCAAGGGGAACTTGATCTCGGGGATCGAGTGCGTGTAATATTTGATTCCCCGCCAAGCGTGATATCGGTGATATTCTGCTTGCAATATTTCATTATACGCGGGATCTTATGAAACCTGCTCGGACCTTCTTCGAGGTTCTCCTCCTCCTTTCGGACACAACAGGTCCATCGAATCCCATTCCTAGAGGAGTGGGGTGTTGCTGACAATACAAAGGTGGCAGTAACAGAGGGACTGAAAAGACTCAGGGTGCTTGTCAGCCTCGACAATCTCGTACCACAGAAAAGTGCATCAGGGAGATCGATGTGGAACGTATGCCGCAAAGAACCCAAGGACAGAGTGCGGGGAAAATCGGACAGTACATGGAGGCGGAACATGCGGTTCAAGTCCACCTTTCGTGTTGATCGGCCAAATAAAGACTCAAGAGGAACATTGTAGCGTGAAGGTGGTCTTGGCTACGATAGTTTATTTTGATCTAGCACGGGTCACAGGAGCAGAGAGCGCTACAAACGCCGCGCCGCTTCAATGTGTTAGCCGATATACGACAACTCGAGGGCAGTCGACTGCTAGCGCTGATCAGAGCAGGAATGCGTACCACTAGGTTCCAACAATATGCTCGGGACTCGGGAGGCTTCAATCGACATGGTATGCCAAACATTCGGGGCCCCAGAAACGGACCAACACAACGTACTGGAACACGAAGAAGGGCACCTTGACAAACGGGAATCCGCGCATCAAGTGGGATTCCACCCGAATACCACGGCGGAGGTTATCGGGAAGACGAAGAACGCCGTGCAGCGGTGGAAGAGCAAAAGACACGTGAATCCAAAACAATCCCAACCTGAAATGAAAGAGTCCATGTGTGCATAAGAGAGGTCTGAATGAATCCAATCCCTCTGGGTTACTCTCTGCAAACGCTGTTTCAATCACTGTTATCGCTCCTTCTCCCGAGAGCGTTTGAACTCCTTCTGTTCCCCGTCGATGCCACGGAAACTACAAGAGTCACTCATTGATAAAAAGGTATTGGCTCCCCTTAGCAGATGAGAGTCGTCGCGACGGGAAATCTGCGAAACCTCCCTTTCGAACTCCCAATACTCGATGCGGAGTGACCGGATATCTCCTCCCTCTCCACTGTCCTGAAAAATGCTGACAAATTGAGAGTGATCAACGCGTAGGGTGATCATCCGTCCATTCCGGTGAGGATAACCCTGTGAGTTCCGGCGTGGTGAGCCTGAACAACTCCGTTAAGCATAGCTTCCGATATGTTCGAGCGACTCGAGTGGAATCATTAATTATCATTACAGTTCCCGAGGATTGATTCCTTCTCTCAGGTCGTCTGAGCCGTCGTATCATGCTCACCATCGTTCATTCTTGTGGGGGGAACTTTTATGCCTTTAGATCGATCATGGGAAGAGAAGCGGGCCTCCATTGAAGAAATGAGCTTTCCAAACGAATCCGATTGGGAGAGAATTCGGAGGAATGAAACCCCAAGAATGGTCTGCCCCGACAGAGAGACTGGAATGCTCAGGTGGAAGAGATGGAAGGGTTTTCCATGCGTCACAGCTATTTTTGAAGGATGCGCGAGGTTTCGATGCACAATACGCTTCCCATGGCGACATCGATCGTCTCTTGTACGATACCGTCAAGCCTCCGAAGAAGCAGAGGGGAGATGGCTCCAATGGAAGGAATCTAGGAGCCGAGTATGACCCTCAATTGAACTCCATTCCCGCCCAGCGTCGATGACTCCCGGATTCCATTTTTTACCGCTTCAGAGGATCGCTAGGGATTCTTCTCAGATAGGGCAAAGCTGGTGACCATGAACCATGATTTTTCTCAGGTTTGATAGATCAATAAAGCAGTTCTCTTCAAGGTCAGTGAAATCTCATAACGCATGGTCCGCATCAACTCAGCGGCGGCGACTGCGAACTGCACCGTCGAACCGGAGAGAGCGAATATTTTCCTCAGTACGATCGCAGTAGCGGCGGTAGAGGGTACAGCGTGCTTCCTCGTGCAGTCCTCACTTGTACCCAAAACCTCACGTCTCGATTGGGAAGCCTCGGGATAGGAGCCCGGGACCTCGCCGCTGACGGCGGCGTCTCCGTAGCGCAAGGCTAAATGCGCCTGGACACAGTCGCAGGCTCAAGATCTGAGACGCCCCTCGAGCCCAGTCCTTTCGGGAACGCGTCTCTTCCGGGAAGAGAATCGCGAATCCGACACCACTGAGAGCCGAAGACAGACTAAGGGAGTTCCACCACGTCTAAAGTCAGACTGAGGAAGGCGGGAGTTGATGCTTGAATTGAACGAATCTGCCGCTCTCCCTGAACACGCTATCGTCGCTAAATCGGTGGAGCAGAGGACAATCATGGCATCATGCTCCCGCCGGGGTCTCACGTCCCACTCGCAGAATGTTCCATTCGAACGAAGTTCTTGCAGACAAGCCCTTGTTGAAGATCTCCAAAGAATGAGAATCACAGTATCGCAACTCTCAAAAGTAAGCCACGACCCTCACTGTGAGTTCCTCGACAGAGGCTGTGGAGATCACGGCTGTCCGCGATCGCCGATCTCAAGAACCTAGCCCCACTCGCACCGGAGCCTCAATGATATCGCAGGCTTCGCTGCGCCGCCGACCACGCGGCTTGGGTGCGATGGATGGAGGGAGGACAAATCGGAGCATAGGGGATGAAATCGGGAGCCAAGAACGATGGAGCGATTATAGAACAGCTCTCGCAGCTGGAATGGTATGGAGTCCAGCTCGTTCTGACTATAAAGTCTCTCGAGTCCCCGGGAAATATTATCCGAACGTCTCTCGTTGACTGAAGAGATGCTACGGGAGCTCACGATGGGTATATAGTGCGCGGGGGCATAACATAGGAATGTACTTTCGAGTACACATACTAAAATTGGAACGATACAGAGAAGATTAGCATGGCCCCTGCGCAAGGATGACACGCAAAATCGTGAAGCGTTCCACATTTTTGAAGCCTCCGCAAAAGTCAGTACGTTCCGGAAACTAAGCTTGGGGTTGAAAAATGGGAGCCAGGGAAGCGACCGATGAAGAGTGTTGCTCAAGAGGGCTGGACTGCAGGGATCAGCCTTGCCGCGAAAACTCATTTTTCGCAATTTTGCGCGAAGCAATTAAGTTTCCTACCTGGGAACCCACAGGTGCGAAGTTCTGCCAGAAAGGTATGATCCTTCCGGTAACAGCCGCCCCCCACTCAACCATAGTTGCGCATTGATTGAAGTGCTCTGCGACAAGCAGAGACTGATAAGGCAATCGTAGCACTTCGTTCTCAGGTCCCTCGAATAGCTCGGCGGAGCGGGCTACGACTCTGACTGGGATGCCATTCCTACAGTTACCCGCGACACCAAATAGCACTTACCAATTGATTGATGATTGTAATCTCGTTCGACCCCGCCCAGTGCTTAAGAGTGCAATGAAGGTGGATGATACTCTGGCTTCTTGCGATGAGATTCCCAGTGGTCGATCCCAAAAGACGCTTATACTTTGAAGAGCGAGCTGCCCAGAGCAACCGGAGTCTCCCGGCATGCGTTTCTCGAACATATGCCGAGTCGAGTCTCGCGATAGCTCGATTGAGCCTGTAGCTGGGAGCCCTGGTCGCGCAGAGCGAGTCGGAGAGGATTTCGATAATGTAGCGTCACGAATTCTATGCTTGCGGATTTTGAGAGGGCGCGCCCTTCGAGGCGAATATGAGTACGTTTCAGGCTTCTGTTCGCCGCCCCCCCTGGAGAATGGGGCCCGGGACAGTGAGCGGAAATCTCGGGACGGTCGCAGTCGAGTTGATTAGGTAAAAGATTCGATGAAGGGGACGCTTAAAACATCTTGCAGGCGGAAAATTATGCTCTATGACAGCGTTTCTCAAACTGGGGGGACGCGTCTCCTAGGGGAGACGCGGGAGAAATCTAGGGGAGACGCTTAGGGTTCCGAGAATTCCTGACCGACCTGATTTCAAGTTTCAGAAAGCTTACCAAGCTCATTGCTACTGTACTCAAAGCTTACGTACGGAGAAAAGGGCAATGCGCCATGTCTCGGTCGAAACTCTATATTCTCAGATATTCGATGACCCTCGGGGGAGACGCGAACGCTCCCCAAGAGGCAGAAGGGAGACGTAGGAGAAAAAAGTTTGAGAATCGCTGCTCTGTGAATATCAGAGTCGAGGATCTAGGGCTTTCTTTGAGAGACATCAAGGGACTGACTAAGCTTTGCACCCTACGGTTGATGCGAGTGCCACAAACTCATGAAAATAAAGTCTCAGCGACACTTCAATCAAATTTCAATAATAATCCGTTCCCTCCCTCCCGGAGAATCCCCCTCTCCAGCTCCAGAGAAACTGCCCAAGTCTGGTCAAAGCCCGAATCGAGTTTGCACAGCTTCCTTCGAGCTCAGAATCGACTTTGAGAATTGACACAGATTTTCGCTCATCCCACGATGGCTCACTGGCGAATGCATATCGATGAACAATCCACTCTCCTCTTCGGGGGTGATGGACCTTGCAGCCGAACGGTAGGAAGGAGGATTCTTCCAAGGAATCCCTCGAAAGAATCAGCTTCCCCGAGGGAACGTCTCGCATGCGCTTTCGATTGTATTGTCGAACATTCCAGACTATACCTGATAGCATGTCTGCCCGAGAATATGAGCAAGACCGTCAATTAGATGAGCAAGGGAAGTCGAATCCTTAGTCCGGTCGGGAGGAAACTCGGTATTCCGACCGTTCTCCCTGAGTTCAAAGGTCAGAGAGCAGCGGAGTAATTATTGAGTCGGTTGGCTTGGTCAGTCCCATGAAAGTTTATTCATTCGTATTACAGCACATTCACGCTAATGCATTCATTCCGTTTCCATCGTTCACATGAAGTCAGAGCAACTCTTGCTATGTTCAGCAAGGCTAGGAACATCTTCGGAAATTCACCATAAATGGGAGAACCCTGTTTTATGACAAGAATATACCTGTGTACATGAAGCCCTTTCTCGAACTCCGTGTTGAGGGTACCTAAGACTCTGTTCATGAGAGTTTCGCATACATCAAAGAGCGGACCCAGGGAAAGGCCAGATTGTTGGTAGACGATGTTTCATCTAGAAGCATCCGAATTCGAAGAAACAGCCTCTTGTGCGTCGGCTTTTGGGACTTGGTTGTCGTGGGGTACCGATTGAGAATCGGAGTCCACGAGACTCTCCTTCCTCAACTGTCTTCTTCTACCGTTCTTTACCTGGAAACGGGATCGGAAACACCAATATAAGAACGGAAGAAGCGAATCGGCGTATCGGAATAATTGGATGATTCATCGATATTGAATTTTCTTGAGCCGCTCGGTTTTATGAGACGAGCCCGAGCCTACCAAATTGGAAGATGGCGTGAAGCTGACATGGTACCCTTTCCGTCGAAGATATTTAGTAAGACAGGCAACCTTTCTCAGGGATATCGAAGGATTCTGGATAAAACTCTTGTAGCCTTTCAAACTTCCTAGATTTCGTATCACGTCACTCTTCGATGCGCGCTGTCGCGATGATTTCTCCACTGCTTTCAGGTTCAGTACGTTCATGAAATTTGCCTTAAACTCAGCAGTGGTAGCCTGTGGAAGAATACAGAGTATATTCGATGCGTTCGATTCCCAAACGGAATTCATCGATGTGCATGTTCCCTAGACTCTCAGTCAATCGAGTTTCGTCGCAAGTTGCCACTCACTTGTAAACTGAAGGCAGAACTCTCTTGCTCTTCTACAGCTTGTGCGAGAGAGCGCACCATGTGCGAGAGCTCCTGGTACTCATCGGAGTTCTTGATGAATTTGTCGAAATGGTTGTTTCTCGAATGCTCCCTGATATCTTCCACGAAGCCGTTGACGATGCCGTGTTTGGAATCAATCTTCTGGCTGGTCGGTCTTTGGTGGAATCGGAAGCGGACGCCTCCTTTGACGAGTTGCCGGGGCTAGGTACAAACAAATGTTCAATCGCAGCCTTGAGGGGTTTCGGAAGGGGGATAGCGGAGCCTCCATGTTTATACTCACGTCTTCCTCTCCATCACTGGCACTGTCCGAGTCCCTCGTCCATGGATTTTTTTTACGATTCTTGAATATGGTGTCCGCAGGAACTATACGGACATGGCACCCGTCCTAGAAAAGAGAAACTCAAGGTTCGTATACTCCTGCAGGATGGGAGCAATCCTCCGGGAGGTATACCTGGGCGACATTCGTCGCAATTCTCAATCTCATGATCCTTCCCCTGTTGAATATTCCGTGTGTCTGCGTTCGACACCTCTTCTGGAGATTTATCCGGACTCGAATGGCCATTGGAATCGATTCGGCTCATTCAGGATGAGATAAGGACGGCTAGCTCGGGAGAATAATTTCAGTTCGCACCGAGATTCTCCAGAGTACGTATAGGGGTTACTAATGGAGCCGGACGCAATGATAGCTCATCAATCTTCTCAAAGACAGAATCGTGTTACGTGTCTCACCCAGCGAACTTGGAAGCATCGATCATTCGCAACAAGGATGGTGTTCTCGCGAAGAATACTGGCAATGATCGGACTCCCAGAGCAACAGAATTCGCCAAATGTTGCCCCTGCTGGAGCGGGGCTGATACGTAGGTCTAACGCGTGACTCCACAGTGAATATCGGGGCTCGCGTCCGGCTTAGGTTTCAGAGGCTTGCATCGGAGCAGGAAAATACCTCGATTCCCCTGTGGTCGCTTGGCCTCGGAACTTTCCGCGAGATTCGAGTCCCGAGCGGAAAAGTACTGTAGCCCAGATACGGCGTATTTTAAGATCTATCGCTGTGGAGCGAAACCGGAAGCGAGGAACAAATCTAGATTCGGAGCCAGGAAATCAATTGTGTTTCCTGAACTTGGATCGAGTTTCCTTACCGCACTCAAGGAATCGTTCGCGTGGCCATACATCAGTGCCAGGAGGTCTACCGCGAATCACTGACGAGATGATTCCAGATTTTCAGGACGTCCAGTGCATCTCCTCGCGTCTCGGGTGAGTGGAGCGGCGCGGTAGCGGGAGAACCGATGAGCTGTACAGGAACGGCGATCGCGGGAAACGTCACTGTAGGGATGTCTAAAAAATCGTGGGCGGAGGAGGATCAGCTCGAAGATTTCGAACCGCCGACAAACGGATCGCGACCACTCTCCGTCGACTCTCCCTTCAGCTGCCATCCACCGAGTCGCCTCGATCACGCCGAGCGCAGATGATTGGATAACATGGCTAGTGTTCTGAGGAAGTTCACTCCGAATCTGGAGGAACAGTCATGATCAAACATGAACTTTCCCGGGATCTCAGGGACGCGCTCCAGGGAAGAGATTGGGAGAGCTAGCGTCTCTCAGGAACAGTGAGCAACGCGCGGGATAGCAGCATAATAAAGTATCTTGAAGTTAACTCTTCGATCCGAAGGAGCGGTTGCAGACGAATGCTCGACCCAGAGACGCTGATGATTATGATTTCTGCTTCGAGATTTCCAGAGCTGGATCGCTCCGTTTCCGAAGTGGCTCAATTCAGGGGGATGATATCGTCAGCATATCAGTGGACTCCATGAACCCTAGATTGCCCTACGCGGAGCCCGTTTCCTGTTCTCTCACTTTTCCTGCTGAAACCCGAGGTTCACTGCTGTCGCGAGGTCGCACCGAGTGTCATGATGTTTTGAGAGCATGAACGGCATCGAGGTATGCGCGATTGTCGGCCTTGAAGTTATAGACCCGAAGTCTCCAACAAGTCTAGATTGGATCCAAGGGGAAAAAGTTGCATAGGCAGACATCGCACCAGGCAGAGTGCAAGGATGCTTCATGGCATGGATGAACCAAGACCATGGAGAACTGAGCCCGCGGTCCCCGAACAAGCAGGATGTCCTTGAAAGAGAAACCAAGCTTCTTGTTCACAACGCAGTCGAAGAGATGAATCGTCCATTTGATCACTTCGAGTCTCCCTCTCCTCGGTCGTCCCCAGTGCCATGACTTGGCTCATACGGTGTTTCGTCAGCTCTGAGCGAGAACCAGGCTTGTCTCGATAGCTCCCCCTCGGAAATAACTCGTTCTCAGATATGAACTTTTGAGTGTGATTCGGCTTCTTGTTTCGAATGAGGGTCATTGTCACAGCACTCTCATGGCGAGAGATAATATACCGCGCAGAATCCCAGTACCGCGATTCGGACGAAACGCGGGGCTTCGCATCGTTCCGTGACTCTTGGTACTCGGTACTGCCTCGCCATATGGAGGCAGTGAGCTTTACCAAGTTCCCGATGAAACGGGGAGATAAACGACAAGGCGCGAGGATTGGAAATTCCCGCACACACCGAAAATCTATGAGGCATACCGGGGTCGCACATATGAGCTTCAAACTCTTTGATGCCATCAATCAGAGCACAAGTCCTCAACGTCCGTCAAGCCATGAATCCCCGTGGGCCTCCTAAGTGATTCTCAGCAGGAGTTCCGTGAACCCTCTTGACCCCATCCAATGGGAGCCTGAGCCGACCAGAAAATAGTCATGAACCCCCGGGGACCACACCGGGTACCGCTGAATCCGAGCATCGGGTTTCGGCTCCGGAAGGCAGAAAAACTCAGCTTTGATTCCGAAAGGGATCGTGTTGGGGATGATCTCCGTCTTGGGATGATGACGACCTTCTGAAGAATGGATGTCAACAAATTACCTTTTGCCGGAGATTGCCTTCGAACGAGATAAGAGCGACGAAGGTCAGGGGATTTTCGAAAAGTCTCGTTCTCAAGCAGAGATTACTGTCATCAGCGTTCGGCGAGGACTCATCTGCAACCGCTATCGCTTTGAGGATACATAATGCCGGACGCCGGAGTTAGCCATCCGGCACCTCCAATTCTGTCCCTGATTAAACCCAAGCCAATCCGATGGCCAACTTTTCGTGGACCGACGTCCCTGCACCACGGTAGAGTTCCTTGTCTCCTACTTTGGATCGAGCGGTGCCATCAGCCGTACGATGCAGCTGAATAAGCATCGAGCGCGAAGTCGAAGACAAAGGAAGGTGATGGAGATCTTCCGAAGTTTTCCATCCGATTTCCACGCCTCCATCTCGAGGATAAGGAAGAACCGCTCGTCCGGAGGCGCGTGCTGTCGCCGGATCGCGAAACGGGAGCTATGAAAGGTCTCCGGGAGTGCCCGCCAAAAGAATCGAAATGCCTGCCGCCGGCTGCCTCGAGGCACAGGTTTGTAGACAAACCGAGAGTGCGCGCTGCAATATCGTGTTCGATCGCGATCGGGTTATTCGGGCAGAACAAGTGGCATCGCTCCACTTCATGACGGCAGACCTTTGAGACAGTCGGATCAGCGGGAAAGTTGTGTCGTGACCTGCTGTCATCATCACCGGCGAAGGTATGTCCGGATTTCCATTCATCCGCGGCGTGTCGAACTTGGGCTCCATAACTTGGAAATCGATCCGAAGATTGTTCCGAGTTTATTTGGGAGCTCTGGTGCAGATATTGGCTCCCTTCCGCTTCGGTGCGATCCTCAGACGCTGCATGACAAGATTCATTGAGCTCCCAGCATAATGGGATTCGAACGCGCTCGACGGCCGCGGACCCTCTGACCGCCGGCAATTCCGAGCGGTTCCCGATCCCGTTCCGAATGATCAGCACCCATTCCGTTTCGTTCGAGAGCGGACCTGCGAGTCGGTACTAATCTTCGGGTAATTCTCTCGTAGATGTTGTTATGTCTTCCACCGAAGGGACCCTCTGATCGTACAGAATGCCTCGGGAGTCTAGCGCCATTTGACGATGACTTCGAATTCGAGCCCGTGGGACGGATATATGAAGTGAGTTCACAAGTTCACCTTCAAGTTACCGACGAAAATACCTGGAGGTCTTTTGACCCAGAGATATCTGAACGTGAGACTCATTTTGCAGTTGCAATTCAATAGTGCGGCGGCGACCGACGGAGCCAGCAGCGAAGAAGGTTTGTCATGATCCGGATAGTCAGATAATCTCTCTCAGAGTCTACTCGTCGTCCTTTAGTATTGAGCCGCCGTCCGAATGCTCTTCCCCCCATCTGAGAAGGCTTACGGTCATGAATATTCGCAGAGGATGATGCCATCGAAGTCGTGGAGGAGACGCCAGAGGAGCTGAACTATCTTAGGGGTTTAGATCCGAATAATTGGAAGGAACAGGATCATTACCACGTGCTCGGATTACAAGTAGCACGATCGAGAGCGAGCGACAAAGATATAAAAGCCGCCTTCAGGAGAAAAGTGGGTGATTGCGCATCTTCATTGAGGTGCAGAATGTCTCGGGAAGAAGCGAACACCAAATGCGAAAGCTATCCTCGAATTTTCTGTTGTGTAGGTGTTGAAACACCATCCGGATAAACGATCGAGCAAGGGAGAGAAGATCGAGAACGTTGACGGTGATTACTTTTCCTGCATAACCAGAGCTTACGAGCTCCTCAGTAATCCCAAACAGAGGTGAGTTTTTCGACCCCGATATCCGATCCGGAAAGCAAATATGTCTCTTGGAAGATGCCGTCCTAAGATGAGCCATCCACGCTTGCCGTCTAAGGCCTCAGGTGAAGTTTCGACTCATATTTGCTCGGATCCCTACAGGAGAGCCTTCGACTCCGTCGATCCTTCTTTCGACGACAGCGTGCCGCCGGTGAGCGAGAAATCGAGAGCCAACTTCTTCAAGGTTTTCGCTCCGGTATTCGAGAGGAATGCGACGTGGTCTGTCAAAGCACACGTGCCGTCGCTCGGGACTATGGATTCGAGTCAAGCAGAGGTTGAAAAATTCTACAATTTTTGGTGAGTTTAATTTTAGTGCTACATGTATAACTCCATCGGGTAAAAGCTCTTCTCAATTCTTTTGAAACCTGAACACTCCCCGAAGGTATAACTTCGAGTCATGGCGAGAATATTCATATCTGGACGAGACAGAAAAAGAAAAAGGCGAGAACCGCTACGAGCGGCGCTATATCGAGAAGGAAAACAGACTGCAGAGGCAAAAACTCAAAAAGGTATATCTTGAGCGTCATTCCTTCTGAAATCAGACATCTCCCGGATATCTCTCGCATCTCTTCCCTGTAACTGTGATGGAAGAGGCTGAAGGAGCGCATTCCACTGTTGTAGGAAGAGATGAAACGATTACGACAGCTAGTGGACAATGCTCAAGAGTGCGATCCGCGTATAAAGAAGTTCAAGGAAGAAGCCAAGGCCATGAAAGAGGTGGGTGTGCTGGATTCCTGGAGGACTGTCATAATCGCGATGCTTATGGTCCATTGTGGAGACCACTTCCCGGTGGCTCGCAGAATTTCCCCAGGTGTTAGATCGCTGTCTCAAAAGTTTTCATCTCCGATACAGGAGGCCAAGAAGCGACGGCATCAGGAGGCCTTCGCCAAGAAGCAGGCGGAGGAGCAGGAACGAGTTGCACGGGAAGAAGCAGATCGCAAAGCTAAAGAAGAGAGAGAGAAAACTGAGCAGGCAGCTCGCGAAAAAGAGAAGAAAGCTCGTGAGCTTCTGAAGAGGGAACAGAAGAGACAGAAGAAAATCATCGAGAAACTATGTGCAGAAGCAGGGAATTTCGCAGAGCCGGGCTCAGCCGATCTTGTCAAGAATCTCGAAAACATCGATCAGATAGGGAAGTTGCTCGATCTCGAGGTTCTGACCGAAATCGCGACCGAGCTCGCTAGCACATCGGATCGTAAGAAGGTGAGATCGCACGCGAGAGAGAGGAGCTCCCGTCACGCTTCCGATGCACAATAGGGTTCGGCTTCGACACGCTGTTTTTCTTCCTCGCCACAGGTTTTCGAGAAGGCAATTCGGCTAGTACAGGAGAAAATCGACGCAGAAAAAATGAGCATGTTGAGCAGATCGATGAAGGGAGTCTCCATGAACGGCGATAGTGGTAAGTTTTGGAAACCGTGTTTTCTTCCGGGATTGATTTATATCGGCTCGAGACTATCAGCCGCTTCTGAAAGCCAAATGGCGATGACTGCTGACAATGTCTTTTGATACAGCCTCCGCATCTAACGCGGCTGCGGGCTCCAAGGAGTGGAGTCCGGATGAAGTTCAGCTGCTTATCAAGGCGGTGAACCTTTTCCCCGCTGGAACGACCGACCGCTGGGAGGTAAGTGAGCGTTCACGTGGCGAGCGTGTGTCTCCCGAGGCTGTTGCAGAAGCGCGGGGAATACCTTTCAGTATGCGAAAAGGACGCGACGATCGATAAGCGAGAAACGAAATGCGACCTATGCTTGAAAATTTCTCCAGGTTGTCGCTACATACATCGGCCAGCATTCGGAGAGCGGTATCAATAGGAGCGCGAAAGACGTTTTAGGCAAAGCGAAGAATATCCAGAAGGGAGGGTTCGGAGCCAAGCAAGATGGTGGAAGGTGAGCACTTGTGAAAAATGACTCCGCTTGGGTTTCTGATCGCTATCTACCTGGAGGTATTGATAGGGAAGGGGATATTCTCTCCCTCAGTTGCACTGCGAATCTGAAACCCGCTCAGACCGGTGAGGAGACGATAGCTGGAATCGATCAAGAGAAGCTCAGCTCTTTCAGTGAGGTAACGGAAGTTTTGTTCCTGCTATAGTTTCCGTCAATCGATTTGCCTCTCGGCCCTGGGCTCTCGAAATGGAGTTCTAGGTTACACAACCCCGCCTCTGATCGGCCTCCCTCCTCTCTTTCGCAGGTCTCCAGAGCCTGGACGAACGAAGAGCAGAAACTCTTGGAGCAGGCGCTGAAAACATATCCGGTCGCTCTAGGCACGGAGCGATGGGATAAAATCGCATCAGTTTTCCCGAACAGGTGGGGTTCGACGCGAAAAATGATCCAAGGAAGCGCCTTCTGAATTCTCGAGCTGGAGAGAGCGAATTTTCGAAACTCATGTCCACTTCTTCCACAGAACCAAGAAGGAGTGCATCAAGCGCTACAAAGAAATCGTCGAAACTGTGAAAGCCAAGAAAGCTGCAGTTGAAGCTGCGAAGAAGAAAAGCGCGAAATAACTCCCTGCCCGCGTTGGAAACGATTCACTGTTGACACATCTGATCTAGTTGTATAAATGTGAACGAGTTAAACGCTTACAAAGAGTAATCTTCCTCTCATTCCGCTTAGAATGACGCAATCATCGGCATACTTAGAATCATATCACGCATCCTTAAAAGGAGTCTCTTATTATAAATTATTATACACATTCAAACGAACAGTTGTCTCGCTTAAGTTCTCTCCCGAGCATCTCACTCCGCTCTACTGCTCCGCAACTTCTGTTCTCTCTTGCGATGACGCGAGCGAGCGTCTTTTTTCCGTACATGGATACCGGCTGAGGCTCGAGCACCGAACGAGACAAAAATTCCGAATTATCACAGTTGACAACGATTTATGCAAGGTGTTTGGTACACTCCGAGGCTTTTCTGACGCGAAGTACTCAAACGAGCGAATGCGGGGAGCGGTACGTCTTTCGGCTCGTCAGAGCCATCGCAACAGTCACACAAGCCATCGTTGACGCGCGATGCCGGAACTTGCACGTTTGGGTCCTGTGAGAAAAAATGAGAAAAAATTTTCAGGGGAGAACTAGTTTGAGGGGGCGAGTGAGTTTCCCTTTCTTTGGGAAGAGAATATCGGAGCTGATGCAACGTGGAGAGCGTTCAGAGGAGCGACTCCTTCAGGAACGCCCTTCAACCTACATAACTACAGGTGAAAAAGGTGTCCAGACAGGCTCCCGTCGAAGGTTCATCGCCGACATCTTCTCCGTGGCCGCAATCGCAGAAATCGTCGTTCACTTTCGTCCACGGCAGCACTCTCAGGCTATCACCGCAGGAGAAGTGATCACTGGTCTCCTCCCAATACAGATGAGCCCAGCGCGCTGCGACACCTACGGGGGTTTTGTGACCCCGCGAAGAGACCGGTGGCAAGTCTGGTAACGGTTTTCGTCGCCGGGATCGAACTGTCGTCTCCTGCAGTTGATTCAATGCGTACATTTGATAAATTAAGAAGAGGACGCCGAATATCACAAGGCTTTGGATGAGACGGTGAAGTCTTCTGTGAGCCATTCTTGACAGGTCTCTAGCCAAATGCGGAATAGGCTCTGGCGGGTAGAACCCGGCTCTGGTCACCGCTCGTCAAGTATTCATCTCGTCGCTGCAAACAAGAAGATTTCGTTCCGCCTTTTGATTCACTCATTGTCAGTCTTAGGAATCCTAATGATAGGTATGCGGACTCGGCTTGCGACGAATGCAACTTTCCATCGAGAGGTTTGCTTCACCAGGGTTGATCCCTAAGTACGGATCAAAACATTATTTCTTCACGCTGCATGGATCTACCTGAAGCCGAGAGACCGGTCGAAATCCTCAAATATATCCTTTCCCACACAGTCGCTCCGTGACTAGCTGAGTGCGCAATGTCGTCAGATCCGTTTGAAGTCTCGATGTCCCATCCCGGTGTTACTCATGTTCAGATGCACAGCTCGATGAAAATTGATCGTCGAGAGATTCGCGAATAACCAAACGACCCTTTTTCACAATGGAATGAACCTGCCGCCCAGCGCGGCCAGACACACTCGGGGAACGTAAACATCAACACAGGGAGATAATCACCAATCATCACAAGTCACAAGCTTTCGAATTCGGCCATGGCGCGCAGGCGGTTCGGGCAACTTGAGGAGCTCCCCTTCCGTATTGGCCACAAGCTCAACGCGGACGGGAAGAAACACCCTGATCTGATACCGGAAGTCCTTCCCGATCTTGGATTTGGATTCTGCACGGAGCCGTCGTCTTCATGAGGAATGAGGATTCTCCTCGAGCGTGTGATTGACGCCTTGCAATGGGGCCTCCGCGGTCGGACTGGATCAGTGAAATTGAACCGGGTGTTCCATCGTCGGATCGTGCACGGGGAGATGCGGAGCGTTTCTCGATGAGTAGATCCAATGAGATCTTTGTTCGAGGAGGAATTATTGCTCACGCAGCTGAGCGGCGGAATGAGATTCCGAAATTCGCTAGCATCCGAAAAGTCTTCCCTTTTCGATATCGATAAATCTGCGAAAACTCACGGCTCCTGCGAAACATGAATTGTGGAATCTTCAGGAGGTCGAAAGAATGCATCCGATGGAACGAGCAAATGCGGAGGATGCGCTGAATCTCCCTAACTTCCGCAATGGAGACTTTTTGTGCGCTCGAGAGTTTTCTTTCGTTGAATCCACGATCCGTTCACCGCTCATCCCCCCCTGAAAGATTGCCGCGCCAAAGCCGATTTCTTCGATTATTCTCGGGTACTCTCAGAGAAGACTGTCTCTCTACGAAATGCTCTCCGAGACTTCCGGTATGGCTTGAGCTGCTCTGCTCATTTCTTCCAATCGTGGAGCATTGCCCTCGAAATTCCATACTTCATTGACGTCGCCGTGTTGCCATGTAAGCGATCGTCGGCGATTGCTTCGGTTTTCTCCCTGGCTGCGGAGAATATACTTTTTCTTCAGGAATGAGAGATTCGTCATTCTACAGCGGAATCGACCTTAATATCTTCGATTCGGGCAGTGGCGGGTCTCGGAATTTGAGCTCTGGACGGGGACCCTCGCAGGTTTCAGGGCTGCGACCAGGGGCGATATGTCTGCCATCTCGAACATGGGCCTTTTCCCAGCGGACGCTCTTCCCCTCTTTCCTCCCCTCGGCTCCATCGCGAGAGGCCGCGGGGGTTGAAAACCGGAGCCCGTATCGCCGCAGGTATGGGTCCCGGCACGCTCTCGAAAAGAAAGGGCCTCCTTGGCGCTGCAGTGAAAATTGAAAGGGAATTGTCGTGTCTGGCTGAACGAAGCAGGTCACGCTCAGCTACGGGAAGGGAGAGAGTGGTCTTTATTCCTGCTTCGATGTGACCTGACCCGAGCAAAACTCTCAGAAGAGTGTCGGTTGAGAAGATTCCGTAATCCTAGACTGCACTGCGTTCGACCTTATGATTCGTCGCACACCCGAGCTCCCGAGCGGTGAGCTCGTGACAAGGAGGAAAAGAACACAAGGGAAACTTCGCGACTCTGCAATGAAACCTAAAGTTCATCGACTTCTTTATCGGTTAATCCGAAAACCCTGCGTATTACATTTTTGAAACTCCCCCATCTTTAAACTTTTTTGCATAACTTTTTGCACGTCTTCTTTTTCTTCCTCAATTTTTCTTTCTGTTTCTTCCTCAAACGCGGCAATTTTGCTCTCACATTCTTCCTCAAACGCGGCAATTTTGCTCTCACATTCTTCCTCAAACGCGGCAATTTTGCTCTCACATTCTTCCTCAAACGCGGCAATTTTGCTCTCACATTCTTCCTCCATCTTTTCGAGTTCCCTCTTAAGCAATTCTTCCAAATCTTGCTTACGAACGGCTTCATCGTGAAGACTCTTCTCGCGCGCTTCGTAAAGCTCCCTCTCGACACCGCTGAAGCTGATTGACTCGAGAACGGATAAAGCTTTCCTCATGCCTTTGACTTCCAATTCTTTCGGCAAGCTATCCTTTCTCAATAAAGCGGGACGAGTCAGGAAAGCCAACCAGCAATCCAGAGGGGTTTTCACTGTAAGACTCAAATCTTCCACAGTTTCACCAATGCGTTCGGAGAATTTGCTCAGGTCTATGAGATGTATCTTTGAATCATGGAGCCCCCGCCGTCCGGTAAACCGGTCGTAGTATTCGTAGGCGCTATGGTAGTTCTCTACTTCAGGCCTCAAGTCAAAGTTGAGAAAATGTATACCGATCGTCTTCTCCAGACAAGCGTACTTTTCTCCTTTTTTGAGTTGTCGCTGGTACAGCTTCGCCCAGTGGTACAAGGCCCTTTTTTCGTAAGCTAAGTCGTACCCGACCTGGACTTCGATGTTGAAGTGCATGCCCGTTTCACCCGTCGCCTTTATATCGATGATCGATTCTTTGTCGTCAATGAAATCCGTTACATTATAGGGATTGAGGATTTCAAGCTTTACGACTTTATCCGTTCGAGAAACCACCGAATTGATTAACTCGACGAGAAGATCCTCGTTGTCGCACACTCCGAATATCTTCTTAAATGACATTCCAGAGCGAGGATCGACATTTCGCCCGCGTGGCCATTCCGATCCTCGCTGATTTCCTTGATCCTTAAAATGAAATAAGTGCAACATTGTAGTTCGAGGAGCTGCGGGATAACTGAAGACCCATGAATTACAGCGAAGAGAAACCACTACGCTTCCATACTACTTACGCGTTTCTCGGTATTATCCAAAGGTGAATTGGTGGAACACAAGCCTCGTCTTCCGGAAACATCAGCGAGCGAGCATCTCTGAGCCAACCACCAAACACGAATCGGCGACGAGTTGGTGGCGACTCGCCGCGCTGAGCGCCTCCATATTTTCTGAAATCATGGAAGTCCACCGGTGAGTGTCGTGTCAGATTCAGTGAATAAATCTGACTCATTGATGCGAAAGTCGGAAAAATGGGAACTCAAAGACTTCACAAGAATAAAAGAACGAGACTGATATCTCATTCGATTCGACTTCTTCATGTCGCACCTCCAGATGGTGCTCGGAAGATGATCCTAATCTGTGCACGATACAATTTGCGGCCATCCTTTCATCCGGTGTCGTGGCAATCTCGTTGGCGACGATCTCAAAATTACTCTCTTGCCAGTCACAGGCCTCAAGCACCCCGTAGTTACGGACCGTGGGTGTGCTCGATCGCTGTCGCTTGAAACCGTCATTCGAGGAACGAGCCTTATCTGAAATCCATTTTTCGTCAACGTCATCGTTGTTCTTCGGAATACTTCTCAAAACGTCACCGCATGACGTTGCAACAACTTTGCTGCCGATCGCATCCTGGACATCGATAATTTCTCTTCGAAGCGTTTCCCACGGTCGCGCACTGATGGTGTCGGTTCCGAAGTTAGAGTTCTCATCGGACACAGATCGATTACTCTACCTGAGAGTTCGGAAGGGAAGATTCTCTCGATGTACGTGCTGATCTGCGCGTCTTGACCACGTGCATAGGATCCGAGGGTCGGAATAGCGGCGATTTCTGAAGCGAATCGAGCACGGCGTGTCCTCCGAATGCAGCGACTCATGAAGGTTGTCACCAGAAAGCCGAAACCCTGGAAGATGGAGCAAGTCGAACGGTAACGAAATGCTGAAGAATTCGCGCTCATCTTGAACAGCTTTCTTTATTTTCCTCCTGATTTTCGCCTTTAATGCTCTCACCTTATCCTCGAAAGCTCGTCTGGCCATCGGGTAGTTGACGTCGGTGAAACGACTCCGATTCAAGCTGATAGCCGTTTTGATTTTCCACATTTTCGTGAAAGGCATGGCGCAGGCCGCCGCCGCGGGTTCAGGTATACACAGAGAACTTAAGCTGTAAAAAGAATTACATGCTGTTCCTGACAATAAACCACCATCTTCAGTCCAGTTCAGGAGAGTTTCCCACCTCGCCGATCCTTTGATACAGGATTCGTTAGGAAACATTTTTCCCCGCGAGACTCAAGGGGAGGAAATAATTTCTAAAATCTCTAGTGATTCCGTCAGCTCAATATGCCAGCGCTCAGCGAAAAGTTCACGAACCTGATCTGCAGCTTCCCGTATGTCTGAATCTCTCACGATCGCAGAATCGAGAGATCTCCTCTCTAACCATCGCCAACTCCTGGAGACCGGTCGTTCCAGGTTCCACCTGATCATAACAATGCATTAATTGTGTTCCTTCGTCATCGCAAACAATTCGGTATGGGCGTTCGGGTTACCAAAACTTCGGCGCGAATAACATTCGGCGTAGCGTATTTCGGCGCCGGGAAACTTCGGCGCGGGAAAAATTCGACGCCAGCCCTTTCGGCGCCGGGAAACTTCGGCGCCGGATCTAGTTCGACTCCAGTATACGTACTGGAGAATTCATGTTGCTCCCTTCCATCAGGCCTCTACCCTCTCCTGATTCTTCTGGAACTGGAATGACCGGGCTCTAGCTATATGAGCATGTTTATAGCATCAGCTGACGAGTTATTCAATTCAATTCAAAAGCACCCCTATTCAAGGGGAGGAGGGGTTGAGGTAGAAGAAAGATAACAGAATCAAGTACTAGCGGGAGGGAGTGGGCGGTCTGTAGAGTGGAACCGTCCCTCACAACGCCAGAAGAGATCACTAGGGAGCTCATTTTCCGCTACTGATTTGGTGATGCGCCACGACCAGCCGTGTTTAAGAGTTTCCGTTCTTGGGATTGATTTAGGACGAACAGTGTATCCGCTACGACGATTGTTCGCCGATACTACGATGAATTCATCGCAAAGATCTAGTGAGAGGATCCGGGCCAGAATGTTTCGGTCCTGCTTCATCAGGAGAGACATGTCGAGGGAACTGGAGTTCAGGCCACAACGCCATTCCAGTCTCTTCAGGAATCTCCTCTGAACTGACTCGATCATCTTCACAAGATATGAGCGGTAAGAGGTCCAAACCGGTGCACAGTACAAGAATTCGGGGACCACGAGTGAGTTGTAGAGTCGCATGTAAGGTTCGGGAGATCTTACAATGAAGCATCTAAATATGCAATTGACCAGAGA